AACGATACTTACGTAACCTATGTAAGGTTGACATCCGAGTTCAAATCCATTCCCTTTCGGATTCTTTTTATGAATTACTTACGCAGCTAAAACCGAAGTCATTTTGCACTCTTTTGGAAATTTGATTATAACCTATTTGAACGACGACAGGGATATTTCATTTCCCCTTGTACCTTTCGACCTTGTTACCTTGCTACAGCAGCCGGATGGATGCAAAATAGCGACATTGCATATCAAGTCATGCTAATTCCCTTCGATAAAATAAGCTTTTCGAATAAGCAAATCACTTTTGAATAGAATTTGTCATATCCGCTCCATGTGACGTTTTCTTCTTGAATTCCCTGAACACAGACGATTTTCCTGATTGAAAGGAGTGTGATTGGTTTTCATTCATGTATTCAAATCAAACTCCCAATGAGCAATCGTTATCGTCATTTTGTGTTACAGCAGCTGTCAATGAGCAAACTTGGTGCAACCACTAAAGCATAATGTGACTTCAGTACCTAATAATAATCATGTAAAAGCCTTGCATGTTTTGATCTTAGTGGGTTTGAAGAGCGCTGAGCTTTTTTGCAAGAACTTGGTAATAATCACTTGAAATAACATCGCAAAAAAAGAAATAGACTTCAGAAATATTATAATAAGGAGGTTTTAAAAAGTTAGAATAAATTGATAAATCGTTGAAAGACGTTGAATACTCATCGGAACATAGGTGTATAGCACACTGAACTAGCAATATGCCGAACTTTGTCCGACAAGGTGTGGGACACATAAGAAATACATACTCATAATCGCATAAGCTCCGTTTGCATATAGTCATTGACAAGTCTGCGATTGCACGGAGGTTCTAAAATCTAAATGCATATATTTCTTGCCGTTATCAACCAATTCGTATAAGCAAGAGTGTTATGATTCCGCATAAATTTTCAACGTTAGTACCAGTTTTACCGAATTACCGAGTAAAATGAATTTATTTTACCTGTATTTCTTAACAATGTTTCAATGCATATGCGTTATATATATATATTATTATTCCATATGACTGCAGGTTAGTAATTTTAATAACTTCCTAAAAATGTGTGAGATATTTTACAATCAGAATACATTTGGCCGAGTTTAATTTTGAAATAAATTGCTTTTCACCACAAACGCATCGAATGAGTCAGGAAATACGATGACGACATCAAAAAACTCGGACAAGCGAGGACCAAAGACAAATTACGATTATAAGAGTGCAGTGCGTTCCCACCAGGCAAGCCCAACTATTGGAGAAACGTTAAATTGATATGACATCAAAATAAAACGGCTTTAATATCGTAACTGCTGAATGAAGTTAGACCAGATATTGTAGAGTTGAATATATATAGTGAGTCTCCAAGCTTTGAGAAAATTTGTGTAATTTTCTGGTGGAAATTTCAATTTCTATTTCTAGGAACAAAAATTCGAAGGGGAAATATGCAGATTGTTAACTGCATACAACAAATAGCATTTCACGCCCTTTGTTGACACCTTCGCAATGGTCCTCCCTTATTCAACCGGTAATTGCTCGACAAATTGTTATCGATTCAGTGGGAGGCGGTGTTATAAAGGTTGAGGTATATGTAAATCTGAACTTTAATGATTGGTATTTAATATTATGTTCCATCGTTATATCATAATGATAGTCTGATCGCACATTTATAGTTATCGAGTGTTCCGGGTAGTTCAGCCATTTGTATGATTCTTTAATAGTTAGAACAGAAGACGAGGCGGTTGGATACTGCTAGTATCCATTAGACCGGGAAGATGTATACCCCAGTATACAGAGAAATAACGATGGTTTCTAAACTATATTGTAAAAATGGTTTAAGGAATTTGCATTTTCGTTCAATTTCTTCCAAGATATAAACGTTGTATAAGTATATTTCTGTGACCGCACTAAATTTTATTCGTAGAAACGTGAGGCAACCCACGAAACCAGATGACGAATGTGATATCATATCAAATAAAAGCATTTTAAGTGGTTCTGAATGCTATGCTTGTCTGGCATTATATGAGGTTCAGTTTCAAGCAGAAGCTTTCCTACGAATAAGAGACAGAAGTTCAGTTTCAAGCAGAAGCTTTTTTTTACGAGCGAGAGACAAAGCCGCTTGTAAAGTGAACGAACCGTGTTAGCAATACTGCTGCCAATGTATCCGGTCTTTCTAATAGTTTTATCATGGTTTATGGCAGCAGCACTCCGAACCGGGGGCTCGTGTCCCATCACAAAGGGGGCATATAGCAGTTGGGGAACAGACACAATGCCATGCGCAAATTGATTTTACTTTTCCCTTCACAAGAAAACTCCCCTACTTCCCAGTTTCAATGTGTTTTCACTTTGTTGAGAATGAATTGTTCAACAAATCTACCATTAAAATAACACTATAAATACTGCTGCAATGCCAAACAGGGGGTCAACAGTGCTAAAAGTCTCCGGAAGGGAGCCACGAGCCATAAGACGTTGGGAACCATTGGTTTATGGCATATCATATATGAATGGGTACATCTTTAATGCCTTAATGTACTGATAAACTTATGGGCCTGCTAAAAAGTTTGAATATTTTGTACAAAACCGCCTAAAAAACACATCCGCCAACGATCAAAATAAAAAATTAGTAATTATTCAGTTAGTGTTTTGGTTGGGAATGCAGATTACGCTGGAAATTCAAATCATTCCTAACCCAAACTGGGTTATTTTCAACCATGGCGGGAGCGTTATTCTCAAATCTCTCTTTTTCGCATTACTGACGGGGGCTTTGTACAAAAGACCCAAAATATCTTTCTTCCTTTCCCAAAATTATCAGTAGCAATTACCTCCAACCGAATAGCATTTAGTGGGGATTCTCCCATAACAAAATGATAAGGATATTTCCCACTTTGTCACTATTATCATATATATATATATATATAATGCTCAACTAGAAATACTTGGGAGGGTGCATACACTCATAGGCTCCTTTTCGGTGCATATCTGACATCATAACTGGCAAGCAGTACAGAAATATTTCCTCGAACATTTATACTATACGTCACTCGATACACTCGTATTTATTTCATATTCAGCTTTAATATAGCTTGGTATGGAATAGCGCTCATTCAAAGTGGGCACATGTATTAGGGCAGCCTACCTTATATCGATTCTACCTCAAAACTTGGCTTGTTTCATACTAGTTATTTTTTGTCCGACTTCTACAGAACTTTTACTTTGCTCCCTCACATCACACTAATCGGTAACATTAAAATTTCAAGAAATGAATATTGGTTCAACTTGCCGTATACTGTGACATAAAAACAACAATAAGATCGCACGCAAAACAACTCACAAGGGACAATACTTGGTAATTAGCGCGGGTTTTTTATGTAAAATTACCACTCATCAGTCTTTGTGCTTCAATCGTCTTCAGCGTGTTTTGGTGGTGATTTAAACGCGTACTTGCAATTTACCAACAATTCATGCTCATGTGAATACGGACCGCGTGAGATGAAATGTTTTGTGGGAGATTCGAGCGTGGAATGATGATTTACTTGAAATGACGCACAGCGTTTGATACGTCTATTGTCTGAATCATTAGTTGTAATTGAGAAGAAAAGAATAGGAACTAATATATGTAAATGGAACATATACGAGCTTTAGAGCTGGTTCGTTCATGTTTTCATCATTCTACTTCATATAAGGAAAAAATGGTCAATTGGCATACTTACGCATAAGATGGTGATGGATATTCAATAATGATGACTGTGTCGGTAGTTATGTGTGGATGAGGAGAGGTGGCTTTATTCAAAACAAATACTAGACTCACAATTTAAGTGCTGAGTTCGATAAACTTTGACGTGGAAGTGTTCTAGTCGAAGGAAGTTATAACAATAAATGAGGTTGCTTTTTATGGGCCCAATAACTGTTGTGGAAATTGTGCCTTATTAACTAACTACAGGGCACCCACCCTTCAGACATCATCATGAATCACAGTCGTATGTCTGAGTAGTGTCACCCAGGCGGTGAATGTCTTCTGCTGTTAGTTAGTATAGGCCTAAATGCTTATTGCGTATGTTTTTTTTTGCTGTTAGTGTAGGCCACGTGGATTCTGGTATCAGGGTAAGATGACAGAGAATTTTGTTTCGGGCGCCATTTTCTTATTAAATATTGAGATTAACACTTACTCGTTTGAGGTATTTCTCCGACAGATTTTAATTCATGGACGCTATCTCATAATTTCGCTATTGAAAAAACAGTGGGGTGGATTGTTCACCACACAAAATTGATAGCATTAAGTTAATATTAGGAATAAGGGTTACTACATGTTCAGATATGAATTATGCCCATGTTCAATGCATAATCCTTATCAATGTACTATGGAGATTATCCTATATAACCAGATTTAGTAATGTCAGTAATCGGGTTAAGAAATTGAAAATTTGTTTTGGCGATTATAGAAAATCAAATTTTGATTTTGTAATGCCATGCCACATTTCAAACGCTTCAACAATAAAGTTATTATTTCACAGTGGGTGATGGAACTGGAGGGAATATTGTTCACAAAATTTTGTAAAAATTCCTTGATGTTTTTATTAAAATTAGAGTAGTCGAGTCTTTTATTAATTAGTTTACGTCGCTCCAGAGTCCAGTGGAAGTCATGAGTTAGAATGAAATTCAACACATTTAGCGAGATATACATCAAGGCAATTAGTATGATGTAATGTTATCGTGTCCATTCGATTTCTAGGATTTTTTTCCAAAATGAAACTACTTTCGGTCATAGAAATTTGAACCTGATTTTGACCCCTCGATCGTCTCTTTTCGAAGTTCACGTGACGCGGCGGAAGTTAATTGTCAATATCTAATTGCGGTAATTACGAATATATTTAACCAAACTTTTTTATCCGTAGTTTAATATAATAAAAGTTCAAAGAGCATGAACCTATGCCCCTTGAACTTCATGTCTGGTTGTTTATACTCGTGTTCAAGATGTAAGCGGCCTCTCTGAAACTGTATTAGTCTTCCATTCACAACGTGGTGTTAGAATTTCTTCAGAAAGTCAATAATTAGATTATAAATAAACCTTGGTGCTTACTTACCTGGACTACATCGACGTTATTATTCATTATGGAACCTAGGATAAACGCAAGAGCAGCGTCACTGCAAAGCCCAAGACCATTTTCAACAGCTTACACAGCTGTTTCAGCCAGTAAAAGATTGTCACCAAACAAAAATCGGGAACCGTTGGTTGCTGGCAAGAACGGAAGGATTGTATCAACGTCTTCTAGGTTGCCACCAGGCAGTCCGTCAAATACACTACGAGAAAGGTAAGAAAGGGTATAAAAATCACCAATTTAACGGTTATTTTGTAGAATATTTGGATGTTATTGAATAGGGTATTTAATGGGTTTTCGAACACTGAATTCCGTGATGTAATTTATACTATATTCTCTTCCCGATCTTTTTTTAATTGGGTAAAAACTGTATTGAAGCAACTCATTCTAGAACAGTAAATCTTCTGTTTTACTTATGTCGATATATGCGGTGTTGCGGAGGTGTATCTGTTTTAGCTGTTGAATAATATTCTAGCATCACGTTGCTCAAGTGAGCCAATCACAAAAGTTGTTGCGGTACTTATGTCAATCCTAAATATAGCTTCGAAAAGCGTTCAGCAATCAGCTGATTGCCCATCGCATGAATGATTCAAAATCGCGACGCTTCCTGCTTCAGAGAAACTAACTATGTTTCAGTCAGTGCTTTCTCATTACGTCGTTTCTATTGTTAGCCTCTCGACGCGAATTGGGCAATATTATAGTATTATTATATCAAATGTATCCACCAATAATCATGTGTATGTATTATCATTTTGCGCACCGGTATACAGTATTTTCTTAAGTCTCTTCGCTTGCTGCAGGTGGGATATGCTTATCATCAAAACATAATTAACTGACTTAATATTATTGATCGCAATTGTCAATTACTGGTTCACATTCGATTATCAATGTCAGATTTCATTCAAAAAGGTTTCCACTGTGTGTACTACACAGCTCACATATCGCTAATTTGTATAATAATTTCCAGACCACATCAGCACCAGGTCACAATAACGACGACAATAGCTAATTTGAGATCTCAGAAAAAAATGACACATATATCGTAAGATCAACTGTTAATATAGGACTGATATATTCAATTTTGTATAGCAAAAAATACACACTTCGGGAATATCCACCTTTTGTCAACTCTGAAAATACCGGCTATAGTAAGCGTATACTGCGCTCGAATCACATCAGTTTTCATGTTGTGGATGTTAAATTACATTCAAGATAAATCACCCGGTGGGAGAATGGACTATTATGACGAGTTTTCATTAAAAACTAGGCGTTTTGAGTCACTAGTTTAAGTCTGTTAAAAGTGTGTTGTATCTATAGCACTTGCTCTGTTTGACTAACCTTGAATTATCGAGCCGTTTTCTTCTTTGACGGGTAAACAATGATTTGAGGTGTGACTTTTTCAAGAATGAATTGTTACGTAACATTTGACAATTGGATATATTGGTATGTTATAGAGATCCACTGGATTGTTCGTTATACGTTTACGAATGTGATCCGTTCATATGTGGCTTTTCATAGAAGTGTCGCTGCTTTTAATGTCGCATGAGCTCATTTTATTACATTTTGTTTCGTCAATATTTACCTTTTTATTACTAAGGTGCAAAGATGAGTAACGTGCGTTCATTTATTCGCGACTGTTTGTCATTCTCGAATAGCTCTTTAGTTTAGTCAGGTCAAATTGCGTTATTTATGAGTTTCATACAACCAGGTTTGCGACGTTACGAACGTCTGTTAAAAAGAGTCGACCTTCTCGTTGCATAATCGGGATCCATACTTTCAATTTCGGGTAAAGGTCATTACGTTTAATATAACATAACGTTTGGTCATTCGTAAATGTCGACCATTATTCGATCGTGAGATTTGCTAGCAAGTGACTTTAATGAGAAGCTCAAATAATATATTTTGGAATAAGCTGAGTTTATTCACGAGAAAAAACTGTTCTGTTCTTGAAACTATTCTTAGCGTCAATCACAGATTGTTACGTAATTTAAAAAGTTAAATTCAAATGATTTCTTAATTTTGAGTTTACACGGATTGGTATATATATTGACATAGTAATTTGTACATCATATTCGTGATGTCATATAGGTCGTTTTGTCAAACGAGGTTATCCACAGCATGAAACATCGGCAGTGTGGCAAACTAGCGGCCACGTCAAAGTGCTCTTGTCTGACAAGTTGAATTGTCCAATTGTTTCATCGGTGGATTGAAGAGTCAAATTGTTAACACAATTCTATAGTTATCGTTAGATAGTATTGGAGACTAGCGCATTGTAGATCGGATTTGTATCAGTGGGTCATCCATGATTCAGTTATAAATAAAATGATATAATGTGCGGACGTTATGCTTTATGACGTTATATATTAATAGATAAAATTGCTTGGAAATGGTTAGTATGACTGTGGTATCCCACTGGAAAATTGTGTAGGATAGACCTGTACTGGGGTATCGTATGATTTAGTGAAAAGACAAGATTGTTGTGTCACCAAATTATGTCCCATGGAAAAATTTGATTTGTATATTATGATATTAGTCTCATAGCAAGCATGTTAAGCCTTAATTCGTAAATAACCTGACAGTGTGTCCCAAAATACCGATAGCGTTTCTACTCGACAGGCAGATGAAAGCGTTGTGGTGTTACCTTTTCCACCCGTCAATGTTAGCGGTGTTACCTTTTCCACCCACCAATGTTATTATCATTTCCTCTTAACGCGTCATGATCGAAAGAAAGTCATGCTACGCAATGAACTAACACTGGTAAATGACGCTTGATTGAATTTCTATACGATTTCTGGTAATCCTATTCGGCTACGTATAACAAATCAAACAACGTGACTTATAGATTTAGGGATTTAATAGTAAGGTACCAGATGTCACGAATTCTACTAATTTTCGAAATATACCTCACTGTGGTACTATTTTTGGGAATTAATACGTGTTACATCGTTATGTTTTAGTCTGAATATATCTCCTAATTTACCTGCTTTCAATGTGTTATTATCTTACAAGACTGTAATATAGTGCTGTATAAAGAATTCGTTCACGTCAAGGTGTTAAATTTATATTGACGGTGAGTTGTATTTTTGTTTTGAACTTTTCGGTTTGTTTTATTTAAATGTAGTATCGGTTTTATAAATTGCTTTTTCGTTTTATGAAATCTCGATTTATAAAGCAATATCGTGCTCCAAGCCAACTGCAATGCTACAGACGTTTTCTAACGAATGTACGAAGAATAGTCAGATCGACAAGTAGTGGAAACGTAATTCATTGGTATATGCTATAGAGGTGCTAGATTGCTGCTAAAAACGACTTAATTTGTTTGGGGGTTAATTTGTATTTATGAAGAGCTTTTTAACAAAATAAACGAGCAATATGAATCGACGCCAATTCGGTATTAGACTGCATAACAGGCGTCTCAGGTGTGTATTTATCGGTTTTGTTGTGACTATGATTTCAAAAAATTAAACCTGCTATAAGATTTGAAAATAAAAGCACGATGAAAAGCTTGCCAGAACTCGAATTACGCGATGTCTATATGTATATATATATATATGGATGCGCAACATATTCTTCAAAAAGATGACTAACTGGTGACATAGAATAGACTGTCATGGAGCACATATGTGCTACTGTACTTTTTGACAATACACGTAATGTTGAGCCGACCATGGGCTCCTCTCGAAAAGTAAAACACTTGACATGTGTATGCTAAAAAGATACCCATTGTCGGTAGTTCAAATTTTACTTCGTATAAAGTACGGATGCAATGTATTTCAAACGAAACTGTGTGTGTGATGTAGAGTAGATTTATTGAAATAGGTTGCTTCACGACGTATTACTGTGACAGCACCTTGGAAATGTGTGCTATCTGTACAGTGACGTTAAGTTAGAATTTTAACCGGAAGGGCGCGAATAGTGCAGATATAAATATTTCTTCGCGAAATTGTACGCAACTGACTGGGCACGCGTGCTGTATTAGCTTATAATTGCTTTTAGGTTGAAAGAAGGTATCTACACAAACTAGTATTATTCAGAATGTGATATTTGAAACCGTGAAATTCTATTAATATATTGTCTATTAAAAAGGGTATTTAATAAAAATAAATTTGTTAGAATACCCTTATTTCATATTCAAATTATCGACAATAATTCAGAATATGGTAATTGGTATTAATGAATATAAAATATATTAAAGTTTGAGTCGTAACTCCCATTTTCATCATTTTGGTTTCATTTCCCCGATACAAAAATAGATTTAGCAAGATGAATATTTGAAAAACATGTCGGTCGTCAACGGGTTAAGATTCTTATAGCAAAAACCATAAATGATAAACAAAGTATGCTTTTACGTCTATTGTAGTCGAAAATTAGACGCGGAAATACAAAAATGAACTTCTGTTCTTGATATCTATTCATACTGGGCTAATAATTAAATTATTTATTTTTAGAAACAAGAGAGAATCGCTTGAACATATTTCAGTCTCAAACATACAAGTCACAAAATCTTACTCTGTTCCAGACGTCAGGATATCGGGTGCTGAACCGAAGGAAGTTGACGAAAATACCAACACCAGCTCACCGTGAGTATTCTATATTCACTGTCATATGCTAAGCTTGTAATAATATTAATTGCCCCACTAAATTACTTCGCTTTGTTTGTATTTTGATGGCTGTGACGTGCTTTGATCTGTACGATTTTTCGTCGCTTGTTGGCAGCCTAGAGTCTTTAAAATTGATATATGAGAAGCGAAGGAGCACGCGATCATATTTTAATTAACCGCCGATCCATATTTATGAAAATGGGTTGATTAAAAACGCACTTACATTAATTTGTTTAATTTTATTCCCTCTAAGAAAGTGTTGACGCCACCCAAAAATTCACTGCGCAAATTTATATTGGAACAGAAAATGTTGCAAATGATAAAATAGGTCAATTTTCAGACTTTTTGCAAACCCATCATTTTCATAATTTTCTTCTAATTTGAAATCCAAGAAATTACGTAATGAAATTGTGTATTCATGAACCGGATACATTGTTTACCAATAAAATTAATTGACTCTGACGATTTGGCTACATTTCAATTACACCCCATTCAAGGGCATGAACTTTTAATAGCTATTCATTCGCCGTTAACTTTACAGTCGGCCCACGTTTGATAACGAGTTGTATATTGAAACCAAGCTTGATAAAGCGCAGTTACGAAATTACTCTCAAAAGTCTGATGAAGCGTCAAGGACGCTCTTCGTGAGTACGAACGAATAAACACTACATACGTTGTTTAACAAGTAACATGATTTTGTGCCAAATGCGTATTTAGAATTAACTTATTAGTTTACATTTAACAAGCTTGTCCTAGTGTTATATTTGTGCGAAACGCTTCGCCGGGCCCCTATGGACAAAAATAACACACGGTATTTGATTTTGTTAATGAATGGACGGTATTAAGGCATAAAGTTAGCGAATTAGTGTTGAATTTATCAGGGAATATAGGCATATTGAGTGGGTAGGTTATGTTTCTGTTTAGAAAAATTAGAAAGATAATGAGAAATAAAGCTATGTGAGAAAATAAAATGGGAAATTCGTTTTACATCGAATGCAGTTAGATATAATAGAATCCGTACCTCGAAAATGGGATTAACTGGAACCAAATGCGACATACAGCGTCTGTTATTATGTTCTTGTTTTGCTCAAAAAAGGCATTGTCAGGGGAATATACTTCCAGAATATCTGGGTCATATATTTTTTATCCCTGACAATTCGTAGCGAACGTGAAAGATAGGTGAATTAGGCGATTTCCACACATAATTTAAAAATATCATGCTTTTAACTTAGCTTCATAATACTGGCTGTGTTGTGTAGTCTATTTCTGCTTACCTCCCCCTCGAAGACAATCTCATTCTAATATGCTCATCATGGTAAGGCTTGGTCGATATTATGGTTGCCAACGTCATTTCAATTAATTTCTTTCTATTCCATCCGGTTTCCGTCAGTGCTTGATATTCGTGTATACTTAATTAATAATTGAACTGTGTGCTTGCTTACGCCGTGGTAAAAACGGCAGAATTGGTGAAAGAGTACCGTTAGGTCGTTTGGATATATTGCAATCTAACGGTTACTTGGCTAAATGATTGAAGAAATTTTACTTATTGATTCCTGACTGGATATACTACATCATGAAACGGTGAGTTAATTATAAAATTGTCGAGTCGCTAGTTATAAAAAATCCGGTACGTTTCTACGAACTAATATCCTGACTAGTTCTGGAGAAACATTTGATAAATTTCATTTTAATGAAACAAAAAATAACGCCAGTACATTTCGTGAGAGGAGTTTTCGTAATATAGCTATCTATATTAGATCCGCTTATTCTTTTCTGAAATGATACCCTATTCCTATATCCACATTTGGTCATCCGTTGATCGTTTAATTAGGCAACACGTATATTTTAGAAAGAAGTTGACAGCAGTTTATTTCAAGCGCCAGTGTAACACTCGGGAAATATCGTTTATTCGAAACGTTCATTTAAAAATAGCTGACTTTTTATATAATGAAATAAATGCCAACATAATACTGGTCTATTTACTTGTATATAAATATATATGTTCCGTAAGTAGTACTGTGTTAGAACGTTGGAAGGGTGGATATCAAAAGACGGTTTGTCATTTGGGCGTTGGTCAGTTGCATCATTCGCTTTATCCGACTGCAATCCGCTAAATTCCTGTCCAAAATTTGATAAATGTTAATTTCCTCGCGGGCAAACGGGTACAAATTGACCAGACAATCATTTTTCCCCTCTGCTATGACGTCAAAACGTGTCGAGTTAAACAAATAAATGTTTAAAAATTGCAGTTCTAACATCAGAAAGTGAAGTTTTTCTGATAAATACGTTTATGAACATAGCGGGTAGCAGGCCTAAGATTCACGAGGCAATATACGTTACTCGAGATAATAGCACCGTTATGCATAAAATCATTCATGTAGAATGGAACGCCGTGTAATCTCAAAATAACGAGGACATACCAAGTCTTTTGGGAAAACGGAAATGCGGTTCCAGTACTTGGGAAATACATAGTGTAACATAAATATTCACTTAGAATTAATTCTAAATTCTACTTTCAGTTCATTCACAATTTTTTACTAACGAGCTTATATTAGCCTAGTTATGCTTCCGGAGCTGTCTGGTAAAATCATTACGAGAAAAGAAATCTTTTGTTCTGTTGTGTAGCGAGCGAGATGTTGCAAGGAGGGTAACATAGCCTAGTGATGTGGAGACAGTCTGGTACAGTGTTGAGATTATGCCGGTAGCCAGCTTCATCGTGTGGTCGGGTTAACCTAGGGTTTGTGTCGTAACAAAGGAGTGTAGAGTCGAAGTAACAGAGCCGAACTATCTTGAAATTCAGAGCTAGGGAGCGAATGGAGACTATTTGGAATGTGAGGTATCATATGCGGACTATGAAAATGGAAAGTAAAGGAATATAGATTAGTTAGTGTTCAGTCCTTTAAGATTTCTCTTCAAGTCGCCCAAGAATTTGAAAACAGCCCTCACGTGATAGTTTACACTAGCTGGAGCAGTAACTACAGCGTAAAGTTGAGGTGTCAACTTTGATTATTTTACGCAATATTGATTTAATGATTTTCTGCCGCCTATCATGACACCTGCATGATGGTAGTTTGACGATCGCTGCTTACAGATCTAATTAAAAAGAGAAGAACAACGAGTATAAATAAATGGCTGTTGTTAGCGTACGGGCACGAGGAAAGAGCAAAACATTATTTATTGGCGATAGAATTTCTTTTCCTGTTTCGTACTTGTTTATGATACTAGTGATAGAGTGTGGATGTGGATACAGTCGCTAAATAACATATAGGTTAACGTTAGTCTTTCGTGATGGTCGAAATGACGCAAATCTGAATAAAAATATCACAGAATCAGCGACGCAGCCTTGTGATATAATTTACCCTCAACTTGGTTAAAATTTTTCTTTCTTGCAATATAACACCCTGGAGCAATAATATGACGTAACTTGGCGAGTAATGCTGCTGCAAATATTTTGCATTTTATTGTTCATAATGAAATAAGTCGGCGTACAATGAATTTTTTTTATTTGAAACTGATATCAGAATGGTGGAATGAGTATTGTAACTAATGGTTGAACGTTATTTTTATGACCTCTCTGCCATGGAAAAATTTCGCAATACAGGATATATATATTATTATGAGCGAGGGATTATGTTTTTCTTCAAAAAGGCCATGAAAAAGTGCTAAAATTAGCATCAAGTCGGTAGCTTGAAAAGTCGGTTTATCAGTGTAGAGCGCGGATTAGTCGAGCTGTTATCGGTGCAGGAAAAGGGCGAAAGTTGTTGCAGAAGTGTGTTTTCTCGTGAACACTTCAGTAAAAAAATTCTGATTCTCAATTTTTACATGTGTTGTGCAATTAGAGTCCCTTCATTCACGCGATAAAAAATAGGATCTTCTATATAAAATTTTGCAACTTGTATGCTTTGTGAGGTTGGGGGAATTGTTTTACTTTCATATTTGTTTGCGCTCCAGTTGGTATTCAACTGATCTGGCTTTTGTGGTTGCAATGTCTTTGTTTGTAACGAATTTTCTTTATTACTATTGACACGTACACACGATTGCACCACTTGGTGAATTGAAATATTTCTAGTGTGACTATCTACACTCTACACTACAGATTCAACAGTTTGTGACTTATATGCCTATCGATAAGCATTAGTTTGATGTATTTGTTTCAGCTTGATACCGTTAATTAACAAACGGCCCCCATGTAATATTTATCAATCAGATATGGTTATGGAATATCGTAGCGTCGTCTTAGCTATGCACTCAGGATCGTTGCATATGAATGGCGTACTGCCCTGTAGTCTAGCTGTTCATGTCAGACAGCGAGCAGCTTCTTAGTTTCAAGCACTGCCGAATGCGCCGGGGCAATATTTTCATTGAATGCTGGTTTTTAACAGTATATATTATGGCCTCGTTTCGTCCGACTAGCATTGGGATTCCCCTTTATCAGTTTTACTGACCTCCGCTACTTGTCACTTACGTCACCCGTGTTATGTAATCTTTATTAAACGAAATAAATATTTGTTCGTTTCGTATGAATCACGTCATATCATCATGGTTACTACTGGACTTTCGATATATCTACGTTTTTATAACATTTGGTGTTTTCTGTTCAAATAGGTGTTGTTGACCGACAGTTTCATTCGTTGTTTGTCAGTTTGTACATAATTTTGAGAATGTCGACGGGAAGCGTTTATTAGGTCATTTGCTACTTATAGTCAGTCGATTGGGGTATAAAATGTTCAGTTGAGGTGTATATAAAGGAAATATAACATAATTACAACCTAACATCTCACGTTTTGGCTCATTTTCAGCTTCAGAAAATCTATTCGCATCGTATAAGCGTCAAACGTTACGTTATAACTGGGTGGTGTCGCGGCTGCCAACACATCGAATTATGCCTTTAACCTAATGACACGTCGACCAGCAAAATACAAAAAATCATCTGTACTGTTGTGTATTAAATACAAATTAAAGAATGTCGATTGCAATGATTCCTCCATCTCCACATTTACTCAGGTATCGGAGACCAGCGATGATGCCGGTATCGAGCAGTACATCCACATGGAGAATTGTCAAGGATACCAAGTATGTGGATTTTCATTATATGTTCATTTAAATCTTTCAGCAGAACGAAGACTTAACAACTACGGTATTCGGGACATCGAATAAAATTGGAATATTATTTTAATTTGAACCCAAATGTTGAATACAATATGGAAAAACTTTCATAGGAATCAAACTAAGTTGATTGTGTATTTTCAGTTTTAAAATCATGTTTCATTGCTTTGTTTGCGTTAACATTGCATAAGATTTCCAAAACTCAGTTTATTTTGAAACGTTACAATTCGTCTTTTGTAAAAACATAGCTTCTTAAAAATAATTAATCGCGTTAAAATTGCAGTTCTTACTACTTCTTTATTGATATCATCATTTTACAATGTACCTTGGACCGATTCCATAAGATATTTCGATCTAAAAACGTGCTCAAATAGACAGCAATATGATTTATCGCATCGTAAAACAAATTTAATTGCCGATGAAATGTTAGATTTATCGATATCTTTGGATACGTCAAAACATGGACTTTTAACACCAAATTAGATTTCTTTGCGAGTGAAAAATTCATTTTTAAGACGTAAAATCAAAACTATTACCGGTCATGTATAATTCGAAATCCCAATCTTGAAACAATATATGTTGCGTATATTGTCGGAAACATGCCCGAGTTATTCACGGCGTTTCTTATTTTATTATAAATTTATTCGAATGTAGAGAGAATACAGTACTTTATGTAGAATACGTAATCTAGCATAATTTTTTTTTAAATTTATTAGACAAACAAAAAAGTTGATCTCAAAAACTAGAAACTTGACAGTTTCAACCGTTTTAACATAGCGTACTATAGAAAGTGCATGGTAACTTATCATTAATTTATATTCTAGATGTCTGGTGAATCACGAACCCCTTTTCGGTATCTACATGAATAAAAGAGGTGAACTATATACAAGTTCTCATCCATCTAAAGGTGGACTTATGGAATGCTTCGATAGAAATGGCAACTCTGTATCAAGTTTCTACCTCAAACCTTACGGTGGCAAAAATACAAAAACGTTCAGACCATTTCAGGTAAGGTTTTAATTGAAATTTAGATATGGTATCTTATTGGAAGTATCTTAATGTAGCAGGTACATAGTGATATTTTCAATAGAACCGTTTGCTTTGTATTTAGGTAACTTAATTTCTTGTTAACATTATTATACCATTTCGTGAAAATTCGAACGAGAAATTCCTTTTGAATTAATATTAAGATGTTTGACATAGTTCTCCTTCTATAAAATTTCGCTGCTTTCTGCATTTTCAAGCTATTAAGCAAATTGCAATTTGGAGAAATAAAGTCTGAATGCATCGATAAGCTGATATAGAAATCGGTTTCAGTTTTTGACGATGTAAACAAACACGTTGTTATCAGAACATTTTGCAATCAATTAGGTATCAAATAACAAAATAACGATATAAAAATAATTGGGGAACAAGAAAAATCATGTCTTGAACATTTGAATGGTCGTTACAAGTAAAAACACTCTTGGATTTGATTTCATACAAACCTCAATGGACAGATAACGCGGGCATCCAAAATAACATTCGGATTGTCAATATACTTATGAGAGAGAAAATTCTGCAAGCTCGCCGTGCATTGCCGTGGCTTTCTTGAAATCTATCAATTTATTTTTTTAGATTCACGAAACACCAGACGGGCATCTTGCAGTTGCATGTATAAACAGTGTTACAGTGTGGACAAAACAAGGAAAACTTGTTATTGAACATGGAAAAAATATGTTTAAATTTTGCAAAAACATTGCAGTTCGTTCAACAGGTACGTTGTTTCTAAAGTAAAGAAATGAATCTTATAGATTTGCATTTATCTAACTAGGTTCGGTTACCCGAAACAGCACTAATAATAATACTGTAATAAAAGGATTTATTTGCACTTTTGTCTTTTGCATATCATGGATGAACTCCGGGTGGTCATATCTGAGAAAGATCGAATCATAGGTCATAATGCAGTTTTCTGTATCATTATCTTCCATACTTATGCCATGTACAAATTACGGATAATTCCTCATTTCTGCCCCATTTTAAACAAGGCCATTACATGATCGACGAGGGCAGTTTATTCCGCAAAATTGACATTCTTGTAAGACAGGTGTCTAGATTACATCTGATAGGAAAAGTAAATTTCTCGTATGTATCAAATTCAACTACATATCTTTGTGATATTATCGTGCGTTTATTTAGTCTCGTTGCACCCGTGGTGCACGGAGTCCGTTTTTCATGCCGGTTGAACTATTATTGACATCGTTTCGTTCACGCGGATTTAAGTCTCAAGTACAAAATAAATGTTTTTTATTTTCGAAAAATAAGATCGAGTATATATCCTATTTGAATTGTGACCCTCCATTGTTGTTATTATTCAAATAGCACAACATTCCTCTATGCCTCAAAAATGTACAAATACTTGAAGCCTGGTTTTGCAAACGATAATCATTGCAACGACATTTTCTGACCTTTTGCCTGAAACCACCCATGCCAATTTGGGCTTTATTACCAAAGTATAATGTCATTTGCATATTACTGGTAATTTGAAAATTGCCCACGTCAGATTTGCATTGTATTTTTGAACTTGGTTAGGGTGGCGAACTTATTTTATAGCGTGTGGATATTGAAATGTAATTGGGCCTAAATGATATTTTATTGCGTGATGAAACTATGTTTTTATATTCCCGTAACGCTACCCCATTAATTTTTACGACCACCATCTTTAAAGGACGCTCACGAAATGGAAAGTTACAAGCCGTCAAACTAATAAGAGGAATCTTAACACCAAGACGAGATTACAAGTTAACATGCTATAATTGTATCATTTAGTTAAGCATATTTTTGATTAAATGCTTTAACTGAACTGGTGAACGAGAATATTTTTTTTTCATCATATAATATCCTACTTGATGTGAATTAGATGGGCTAGAATTCTTATACAAAACAATTGTTTTTTCGTAGTGTTGCGCAATTTCATTTTAATATTACGCAATATTAACCGTACTTTTTTCTCAGGTGAAATTATTGCGACAGACACAGATGGCGACTGTGTGATGCTGATATCACCAAGTGGACAACAAATTACAAAACTCGATTTCAAGATCGAATGTGCTGCGGGTGTTGCGGTTGACAGCAACGATAATATCATTGTGACCGACTTCAAACATACTGTTTGGGTAAGATTCAAGTCGTGATCATTTTCGTGAAACTGCACAGAATTAATGTTGAAATTTGCCGCTTGTTGTCGGTGTTAAAAATGGGCACGGACCTTATGTTTTTACCACACTCCGGCTGTCTCAGAGTATTCTCAATTTTTTTAAGTCGGAATTTCAAATTTTCAATGGTGATCAAAAAAGTCAAAATCTTTTTCGAAAAACACAAAGCAGAAGTTCACTATAAGCTTACCTAACAATGTATTGAAAAAGGCTCGCAATTTTTTTTATACATATATTCAATTTTCTTGAAGCTCGAGTCGCAGTTAAAATTTTTAGTCCGGAGTTGGAGTCAATATTTTTTTGAACTGGATTCGAAATCGATTACGATTTTTTTTTTCGGTTGTAGATTTCCTCAAAACGATTCGTATTTACCAGAATTATCGACTTCAGTGGTCGGATTTTGATCTAAAATAAAATCTCGGTACTGGAGGTATGGTGACAATGACATCTAATAGTGCAATAAGAACATCTGAATTCGAGCCATGTTTTTCAATACACAAAACCCAAAACGTGCAAAATCACAATTCCTACCCAATATTCAGTGCATATGTCTTCGTAAGCTGAGAAGTGCTCATTAACCAAGTGCTTTAACTAAATTATTTGTGATAACGGCGTATAAACACCTTCAATCTGCCCCTATCCATCACCTTTATATAATGGGTTGCCCTGGGCAAGGTCATGCGTCATTCGATTCTTTATTTTTATTTGTGCTATATCTAAAAAATCGTATATTTTTTGAACGACGTCGGTGTTACAAATCCGAAACTGTTTTAAGAGATGCTCGGACTTGATTCAGTCCTAACTAACTGATTGCTTATTATTCCTTTTGAAATATTGTATATTCATTCAATTTTTTTTTTTAGATTTTCGACGTGGATAACAAACTTGTACGAAAATTTGGTGTCAGGGGTCATGGTGATGGTGAACTAGACATGGTTTATGGCGTTACTACTGATAGTGAAGATAATATTGTATTAGCTGACATGTGGAATCATAGGTAACTTCAAGATTCTAATCGATCTTCTTAATCGAGTAACTTTCAATATACAATTGATTTTGTACAATATAATTATCTGCAGATATTTTGATATATTCTCATTATTCAGACTTGTTTAGTCATATAAACAAGTTTTTTTATGATTATCTTGCCTATTCAATGATTGATCTCATTTATACAGTTTTATAATTTGAACAAAAATGCTCTTGCCACTTACCACACCAGTCTTAGGTGGACGAAAATATTTTGAAAATATTACATGTCGAAAAAAATCCACATGCCAAAAAGAAGAAATATGAGCGTATCATCTATGATCAACTAACTATACTTGTATTAACAAAAAAAATGTGAAATACCTCATCTAATACTAACCTTTTCTACAGAATATCTGTCTACTCGAACGAAGGAAAATTTCTGTGCAATATAGCGACTGCTTCAGCAGGGCTGCATCGCCCACTTCAACTTGCTGTGACAAAAGACGAAAACGGTGACAATAGACTGGCCATATTGGAACTTGGTTCTTACGCAGTAAAATTGTTGTCTTACTGAATGAGAGAGGCACTGAAACGCCAATGAGTAAAGATGCTGTAGGTGGACGGTGGTCGGCAAAGTCCCTCGAAGCAAAACTGTCCCGAAGTGCGTGCAAGCCAAGAGCAACTCAAATGGTTTCGTCCGAACCTGGGCAACATTGGTTGCGCGGGGTAGCTTCGTCACCATTGCGCATGAATAAATTTTGCAATTTTTGAAACATTTCAAGTTATTTATCGTCGTTTCTTTTCATATCATTAATTTCGCTGTGTGAAAAAACACCGACCACAGTGATTCATGTCATGTACGTCATGGGGTTCTGAAATATGTTTATCTGACGCCCGACTTGGAAACCATTGGATAAGCCGACTCTCAACTGAACAAAATTTTAACTCTGACTTCGGTATTGCAAAAACAACTGAAATACTGACTTTTGAAATAAATTCTTCATTCGTCTCTGGGAAGTTTGAATATATTATATGACTTTTTAAAGTCGCCAATTTCGCTACATCCTCGCTGAACGCACATTTTTTGTTTTCTACAATTACATATTTTCGGATTAATTGCTGCGCCGTATATGTGGTTAATTTTGCAGTTTAGCAGTTTGTTATAGTCAATCATGGTTTGGTAGATGTTATGTGCCTTCCGTTTGTGTGTGCAGGGATTATGCTTTCCCATTTCCACTGTAGAATGCCCTTTATTTTCAGCTACATAGTTTTGTGTTTATTTATTCCAGATTTTATGAAGCTAATTTTAAATTGTTTCTGCTTGTTATTTTTTTCCCTAATATTCATTGCCTTAGCAGTTAGCATGATACAATTTCTGCTGTTCCGCATTATTTCAGCGCTAGTTGGCATCACATGCAATGATTTCGCCATTTCGGGATATTCTGTTTTCATATCTATCAAATTCTTTAGTCTGAATTGTTCGTAAATTGATAGCTATTTTAGTTTAGTTTTCAATTGAGTTGATTATACATTGTTAAGTTTGACAGTAGTTGTTGTCATCCGTCCCTTAGTCATTGTTTCGTATGTTCCTACCAAATACAAATTTGTTATCAAACTGACGCCATTTTGTTATGGCGTTTCCAATTTTTCCGCTCTTTCTATCAGTTAGACAGTGCAATTAAAGAAATAAAGCTGTACGTAGGAGCGTACTGCCATTTTTCGTGGAGTTGACCGTGGAGCGACACACTAAACCAGCCACGATGGGTTGTGAATTAAGTCAAAAATTAGTTAGAATTCTACTAGCTAGCCCCTCTGGAAGCGCTCTTCAGAAAGCGGGCGTCGGAAAGCCTCGTAAAACGATTTTAAGAATCTGATAATCCAGTTTGCCTTGTTATGGTGTTTGGTACATACTATGGAATATTGTGTCCAATGGACCTACGTAGGTAGGCATAACCCATTTAAATAACTTCGGGCGAGCGATCAAGCGACCAGATTTGAACCATTCTGTCAACATGGGGGCAGGTGTGATTCCACAGCGGATGTAAGCATCGCAACCATGTGCTGGTTTGAAGAGTAGATTGGTGTGGTATCACATTTTGGAACTATTTCGACTTCGATCTTCGATCATTACGAATCGTCAACAAATCAATACGCTTTATTTCAACATTTCGCCTTAATACCGAAACCGAGATATACGAGAAGAACGTGATATGAATTAGATAGCTTTTAGGATCCTGAATTTTATGATACCACTTTAAAACGAGGCCGCTTTGTAACTGGTGAATAGCCAATCTGGAGATGATAACAGTGTTAGAATGAGCATATCAGCGCGCAATATTCGATTTTAGTAATTTGATTCGAGAATCCACATGTACTTCAGCAAGTATGCTAAAACATACGGCACGCGTGTAATTAGAGGGAGTATATATAGAAAATTCCAGAAGGATGCTATCACAAGACAACTTTGCACTACAGACACAAACCTTGCCAGCATTAATAGTCTTCATTAAAAATAGGAACACTACAATATATATAAAAAACAGAACGGTAAACATTGCAATAATTTGATAACAGAAAAGTATGCAGATAATTCTAACTATCGTCAACAAGACGCAAAAAGTTGTTACATCCTGTCATAGGATTCTATAATTTAATAACAGGTTCTCTTTTATATTAAGCACACTAACAACCGGGTCACTCATATCAACCATTCCCAACTTATAGCTCAAAAAAACAAGATTGGTTTCGTTGATTATCACGACTTTCAAAAACGGGCTCGTATGAACCCGTGCGAAATTCCTGAATCACACTACCTGATTCACGTAGGCTAGGGCTCAAAGGGAATGTTTCAGTTGTAAAACAGGAAATGGGTGTTTGTGAATTTACAAATATTCACCCCATATATAGGAGGAGTGCAGGAAAATTACTGCTAGGAACCCTACGGATGTTGGTACTGAACCCTATGGAACTACTTCGGGTGTCGCTGCTCGATAATCGTTCCTGGTTCCCCGCGACTTCCCTTCCCCAGTAAAAATGAGTTTTGTATTTTGTTAATTTCGTATGTTATTCATTACTGAATGGGAAAAATGGACTTGACTATGACTGCAGCTGAATTGCATGGCTGCAACAAATTCTATCCATTCCAGTATTCCCCACTATAAAATTGTTTTCAACCATTCGGACCGTATACTTCAATTAAATGAAACAAAATTCCTAGAAATGAAACGTATATAATCAAGCTGTCTCAGTTAGGAAGTTATTTGACGGCAAGAAGTATGCTATAACTATATACACACGACTTGCCGGAGAGTGACTTACAAACAAAAAGAGATGAATCATAAATGTGTTGTTTATCGTGAAACGTTTGATTGGTGGGAATATGCATCGGACGCTCGCTACCAATAGCAGAGTCCCACTTGCTACCGTATTGAAATTTACATGCCCGAAACATTTATTTGAAGCACCAACCAGAACCAAAATATCGCCGCAAGGTTGTAGTCTGTGACTGGACTCCGAACGTTGATGTTTGGACGCATTGATAAATTTTTTTTTCCACTTACTATTCAATTGTGTTACTTGTAATAAGAATACATCGTATTTCATATGCCATCATATTCTTATAACAACATGTAAAATTGCGAGAGTTGTATGATTGGTACAAATGAAAGATCTCGACCGCTGAACGAACAATTATCCAAACCAAAAAATATCCAAGCAATTCACGCCCTTGTACGTAGCCTACGTTTATTTTATGATATTATTTTATAACTTCATAACTTCAACCATAACAATGAAGCGCAAATTAAAATAGATATGTTTGTAATTTAAAAGTCTTCTTTCAACCCATACAAACGTATGTTGTGAAATAAACATATTTCAGACCCATCAATTCTTATTTCCACCGTGGAGAGTATTCCAGTATGGGAGAGTCCAGCATTAAACGAAACATTCTTGTTTATCAAGCCCATGAGTTAACAGACGAACCATTAGTATTACATCTATAAACAGGTGATGATTGAACAAGAGAGCTATGCTCAAATATATGGACACGTAGCGCCATCTAGTGGCAATAATTTTGATGACGTCATAGCAAAAATAAAAGTAATAGCCCTCTAGTAAAAAATATAGTTTTTGCTCACTGAAAATTTCAATGCAATTGGTCCAGTAATCAAAGAGACAAGAGATTTCTTCAAAACGTGTCAAAGAACAACAAAACGATCGTTATGTCCACGGAGTGTCCAATAAAGATCAAATGAACAGTAATCCTCAAAACTATTTTTGAATGTAACAATATATGTTTGCTCATAATCTCCAGTTGAGACCAGGCAAAATAAAACTTTTTCACGACTCAGACAGATATTGTTTCACTGCGCTTGGGCAACTTGTCCAAATTCATAATAAGCGTTTAGTTTGGCTTTTGTTCCTTCAGAATATAAGAAATTTGTCTTTTGTTGTGGTGTCGCGGTTCAAATTTCGGACGCACATTGACGAGAGAAGTCAGTATTAGGCTGCCGGTACTGAAAGCATGTTAAAGCGTAAAACGTCGGTTGAGTTTAAAGGCTTAGTTTTGTCAAAAGTCTTTTAGCTGACGCAGACGAAAGTAATTTAGCTGACACGATAAGAATTGAATTATTTTAAAGCTTAAGATAATCTATTCCGCATCAACTACTACAAAACACTTCCGAACATCGGGCTGCACTCCCATAAAAGTCAATATGTAGCATATTATGTATTGTAGACTAGGCTACTTTTCGACATATATAATTTCGTGTGGACAAATTCGCAGATTGATGAAAGACACCGGAAAATAGAACGTAAACTGGGTCATTATAAACGAAAATTACTTAGACTTGTTTCATTATATAACTTTTATGGAGAATCAATATTATGGGCTTATAATCGGTTGTCAAACTAACTTCCTTATTCATGCCTACTTCATAGGCTGCCCAGCAATCTGACAGCAGAGTAATAGTAAACTATATTCTTTTATCAGTAGCAAGTCAGACCGACCAAGGAAATCTTTAATATTGCTGAACACGTTTGTATTGAAAAAATAACTGCAAGGTCTAACTACAAAAAAAAAACGGTTTTATGTGGAAATATGTAAATTCCGCGATCACAAGTGATTTGTTAAGTGGAGTTATACGGTATTTAGCTACTTTGAATATCCATGAATCTAAATTTCTGATAACCTGTTTTTGGCCATTTGGATTCAATCTTGTAAGTCAGTGATTTGAAAAATATCATGTATCTAGTAATAGTCTTGAAATAGACAATTTTTCCGATCGTCCTTCTCCCTATTCATTGATCAATGATCTATTGTCAGCTTCAAAAAGCATTGATTTTGCGAAGTTCTGAAATGTGTGTCTAATAAAGAAAGACAAACAAAGAGACAACACCTTTCTTCAACACGGTAACGACAGGCAAGTTTTTGTTACAAAAGTGTCCATTTCGATGCTGACTTTATGACCTATTGTCTGTTTCTGTTCATAATGATACATCGTGAAATTTTCAAGACCCTATTGTGATCGCTTAAATTTATAAAAAAAATTTGATAATAATAATACTAATTTATCAATTTATTGAAGGAGTTACCCACTCAGTAACAATGGTCATTTTCGACATCTAGAAATCCTATAATTTCGTTAAAATCGTTTCAAATTTGATTATCAAAGACAATGCCCGGAGGTCGCGTTCGACAAGTTTCAAGAGCTACTCAACGATACCTCTAGTGCTAAGTGGGATTGTTCTGGTCAATTTCTTCAGATAATCCTTTGTCGTTGCAAGGACTGGAACTGGTCACCGAGTATGCAGCGATAATCACTCTATACTGTACCTAATTTTTCTATATCTAACATTAATAGATCTATGCAAGATATACTTTACAACACTTATATTTTCCAAGTGGTTATTACAGAAAATTAGAATATACCCACGTGCAAACGATTTAATATGATATCGTCACGACAAGTTATTCGTAATTTATGATGATGCTTATTTTTAAAACTCATTTTTCACTATGTACAGATTAATTAAAAATTGTTACCAATACAAGTTATGGAATTGTATAACTGGTGATAAGGACCTGATATGGCAGATCGAATATTGGCTGCAATGGACTACCTTGACGCATACACGAAAATTGTTCCTCATCATGCAAAGCAGGTATGATTCCGTAATACACACGTCTTCAGGCCCAAGTTTATTACCTGTAGCAAACAGATCGCAGGTGTAGCAATAAATACATTAAAGAGTGCATACGATTAATGTTTTTAGGTTCGGATTTTGTGGCCGCGGAGAAATAAAAATGAGCAGTGCATTTCCGTTGAATTCAAATGAAATGCGAATGATATATGTGTCCGCTTATGGAATCAATTTGAATTCAACTATTAAAATTTTCGGGTGTTTAACGTACAATACAACTCAAATTTCCTCGATCAATTTGCACTTTTTGCTTCAATAAAGTTAATCTGTAAAGTACTCAACGTAGCAAAATATTAAATAAAGGCGATTTCTCTGAACTGCTTATAAATATGATGCGTTATTGTTGTGAGCGTTACGGAAAGGATAATTAACTAACCGTTAACCACAAGACTGTCAACAAATCGTAAATTCCAAATGACACTTTTCATTTCATTTGATGTTTAATAATCTTTATAAGAAAGGAAAAGTGTACTCACCTATGTTTGAGATACATTCGGACTTAACTACAAAGTAAATACCGTTTATGAAAGGTTGCGCACGGTTACGATAAAAAGCGTCGAACTGGTCGCGCGAGACATCTCATTGCAGGCAATTGTGCCGGATTTCTAACAGTGCGTTTCCGATGATGCATGCGTCGAGTCTAAAGCTCGAATGATACTATAGTTGTGTAGTAAAATGGAATGAATTTAGTTTTGGGAATTCAGATGATACAATTTATATAGTCTGATTTTACTGTAAAAACGAGGCCAAATTCTTTTAGGATTTGAATTATTTAATAAGTTGGGAGACTTTAGAACAAAAGTTACAATGGGTTTTAGTTAGTTTATCAGTGTTTGAGGTAAAAGGGCAAAATATCATACAAAATTAACATAGAATATATCAAAGTATGACAAGGTTTTCAAGTATAGCGAATACCGACTCATGGTTGATCTGTACATTTCGTTCGCTGAAACCTCAAAATTACTTTTATAGTATAATCGTTATTTCGTCTGCTTGAATCACCAGCGATTCGGCAATTTTCTCAGTAATTGCGAGGAACTGATAGATGAAAAATCGTAAATTTTTAATTTTACATCGATACTGAGATATAGACAAGTCATGTGTAAAAAATCGATTCAGCCACTGAAATTTTTTAGTCTTTTGGAAAACTTGCATTTGATTTGAAGATTGCACTTCGTTTTACACAACTAAATGAAAAATCGAAGACATTATATATTCAAAGCGGAATGCTATGCCAATAATTGTTTCAGAATTTAGTCCAAGTAATAAGCTACCTATAGTCAGTACTCTGCACATAAATACAACATCTCAGACACTTCTGTTGCCAAATTTCCACGCATTTTTGCTGCCGCGTACTCAAATGTTTCTGGTAGAACTAATCAATTTCTCATAACACAGCGTGAAATTTCGGCATCTTGATGTGGAACATCAAACATTTGGGCAATTTGGGGCCAAATACAAGATTGAATAATGTGAATACTAACTACAGTATATGATTTATATTCATGCTTCGAAAATTTGGTTTGTTTTGTGATTCTCTTCAAGGGGGTATTTCATTAATATAACGTACCAATTCTTTATTGAAGCCGTTCTGAAGGTCCTAGCAGCTGTGTGTCGCACTAATCCCAATAAATCCAATAGTGTCAAAGTTACCGTAAAATTTCCATTTCAAGTCAAGAGCAAGCCTGCCTCTGCGACTTAGATTTCAATGCTACCACACGAGCTTGTATAGTTTAAAACCATATTAATTTGATCGTTATGACTTCTTTCGTGCAATATTAGTTGTCAAGATAATGTTTTTTGTATAGTGGGGATAAATTATTTCAGATGTTTCATTTCAATTCATGCGAAACAATTTTGTTGCTGTTGTTGCTATACTCTCCTTAACCACTGAGTTACTCGAGCGATCATGATCCTTCGATAGAATTATGTTGATTGTTTGAACATTGACTCTTGCGTAACATTTCAAACTTTAAAACTTGCTGCTACACAGATGTAAAATGATACAAATGTAAGGTAAAAACGGTGGTCGTACTGTTTGCTGTGGGCGGTAGGGCAAGGATATATAAAAAGACTCATTGAACCATTTACTGTATAACTCAATCAATCGAAATCACATTATTTTTACCAATCTATCCTCACAGTGTTTTTATACTTTTACAGCGAGCACTGGGTGATATAGACGGTAAATACAGTGTGGTTGATCCGCTCCTTGAAATATCATATTACCCCTCGATTAAAAATGATGTCAGCCTAGCGGGAGTGAAAAAGATCAATCCAAGCAACGGCAAATCACCTGAAGAAATCGTGGAAGAAGACAGGGAACGAATGATACAATCTGCGGAACGGGCCAAGTAAGAACTTTTCAGATATTAAATTAATAAATATTGGTTATGGCGCTGTGTTTGTTCCAATTAATGCTTTTTCAAACATCAGTTACTTTAGCGTAGGGGCTCTCTGTCTCGAGATAGTCTTACAGTGTAAGATGTAGAGATTTCCGCTTTGGGTAAATTGTACCCGATATTGATGCCACGAGTTGGAATATTCAGCTACATAACATCTGGCCTATAGGTATATATATTTATATATAAAGTTGTGATTGTGATGAAATTGAGAATTTGCGAAAAAATGATTTCGCGCTAAAGGACCATTCAAAAAAAAACAGGCGAATCAGTTTTCGTCCTGGGAAAATTCATTCATTCACTTAGCGCTGACAAAATTTTTACAAACCCAAAATCAAATTGACTGTCGGATCGCAATTGTTTGTATAGACGGAATTAGCTTGGAAACTACTATACAAACACTGGATAAAGATTGGTGAAACTGATACTCAAAGCAAACACAATACAAGTCGTAGAAGCTTGGCGTATACTGATAGCAAACACATTAAATTTGAAAAAATTTCGAAGTAACTAGCCAGTGTTAAAGTGATATTGAAACAGGATATACTCGGATATTATTGCTGTAGTCAAGAAAACGCGCCATAAGCCATTTTCAAGCAAGTGCGTTTTTAAATACATTCATTCTGACTATTTAGCTCCTTAACTTATTAGCATTGCAAATTAGAATTGAAGTTCCATATGTCGATATGGCGCATAAATACAATTGGATGATTTCGCATAATAATGTATTTAACTTTTTGAAGCAGTATCAAGACTTTTTTTATTTATTTTATTCGTCCTTTCACCCAGTCATATACAATCTAAATAAGAGTGGAAGCGATAAGACGAATTGAATGATCTATAAAATATGTGTAAAAGCGATAAAACTTCGCGTTGGCCAGCAATTTCATTAACACAACTAGAAATGAAGTTGATGTCATACTTAGAAGTGGTATATATTCAAACGACTCCTAACACACTGTTATCAATAAATAGCGATGACGTCTCATCTTTTTGTATCTGGCCGCTGTATTTTAAGGACGACCGAAACTAATATAGTGGGCATGAAAACGGGGCAAGCCTCGGCACCCCCCAACAAGGCCCATAAAACGTTATTAAAACGTCATGATTGAACACTTAAAAATTAGGGTTTAAGCGTCACCTTGATCTCAACCGTACTAAATTCAAAAATTAAACTTTGCTAATACAATCAAAAATTTTCCTTTTTTGATTTATTGGGTATGCTTACCATTTAAATGCCAATATATAACCGATATTTGCTTTCGTTGAGATCCGAAATTGGCCCACCATAAAATTATTTTCATCGAGCTTATCCATTGTTGGACGAAGAAAATTTATTGGCTCCGTGTTGTTGTGATAATGTTGTCTCCGACACCTATTACCGTTGGCATTGGGTCAAGTTGTAAGACTCGGACCGCCAAGGGTCGTTAACCTAAACAATGTAAATTACTGGTGGAGTGCTGGCCTCAAGTAGATGAGCAATTGATGGACGAGCAATTGTGATATTGTTAGTATTACACTTTCGAATCCGGGTTCCTATTGCATTTTGAAGTTTTCACAAACTCTTGTAGTTTTTGAAAATTAGCATCGTTAAACTACATCACAACAAGTTGTAAAAGCAGATAAGTATAAACAAACTTTATCTACTGCAAACTACTTATAAGTGATTTGCAAAGACAGATCGAGTTTTTTAGCGAAAGTGATCTTTAAAAATGTTAATTTGGGTACATCAATACGAGTGGCCCGTGCCAAAAATGTTTGCCGGACACTTGTGGCTTTGCTGAGTGTAGAAAAGCCGCCATGAAAGCATCAATTTGCGATATCCGAGCCATCAGAAGTAGGTAGTTCGTACGACTGGCTGAAACTTTAATGTGTCAACTACTATCAGCATTAAATAATCGTTGAATAATTATGAAGTACGGTTAGAAAGTAAACCTAAATAAAAATTGAATGATTTGAAGCATATTTCGAACTATGAAATGTGGTGAGTGTCTGAATTTTATAAAACTGTGATCAAGTCCCACTGAGTTTAAAAATTTCTACTCGTGTCTCGGTCATTTCGTAGCAAAACCGTCAGAAAATTTTACTAGAATTCGTTAGACTACTATTTCTATGTCCTATGTTCCAGAATCACCCCATAAAGTCGTATTCTTTTTTAGATGGAAACACCTTTTGATTATGCCGTGTTTTGACTATAAGACATTTCATTTTTCAGACGGTTTTATTATAGATTGAAACATTTCATTATTATAGAAGCAAAAGAAAAAAATAGGAGTAAAAATAGTAATTCTTTGTTTATTTTACAATACTGTTGTATAATAGAAGTCTTCTTGCCTTAACTAATGCCAAGCTAAACATATTTAGGCAAGTTGTTTTGACGCTGGGATTTCATTTGGTTATTTTCCAAATAGTTTGCAAAGCAAGGTCACGCATCAGGCAATAGTAAGCGAAGATTATCCCCGAGCTAATTTACAAGCTGAAATGTCAAGATGTATTGAAATAATCTAGAATTATGTTGGTGCATTACGCCAGTAAATGATGAATTTTCATAGCATTATATTGTTTCAAAATCATAATTTTGATAAAACGAATAGTTCCATGATATAAACATTGATCATGATGTTTTTCGATTTGATTTTAAAAAATCTGATGAAATATAATGTTCCGATTCGGGAACTGGACTTTTTCACATCTTTATATTATTATTTAATTGAAAGCGGCAGTTTTCACGGACAATTCTTGACAATGTACAAATTTTGAAGTGTTGTACGCCATAAGTGGCATACGAGTTACATCCACTATCAATTGTAATATTAACAAGTATATATATGGAGTTTCAGAATATTTAACCATTCTGGTATAGATAATCATGTAGTGTAAGATCATTAAATTAGTAACACTTGTTAAGTCTCTTTCAGAAGGTGCGCAATTTTGCGAATCACAACATCCACGCTGGAAACTATGTTTTGATGTCGGCAATTGCGTTTACCTCAGTAGTGTGGCAATTTTACGTCAATAGCAAAAATCAGAAAAACTTTTTGGATTTTCGTGCGTCAGGACCTGCTCCAGTTTCTATAGTTACGGTTGCGCATTCCACCACGGCGGCATTCGAATTTTCATTATTGGGGTCTGGCATTTTGCCCTATAATCGAATTACAGAGACGAGCTTTTTACGGCTGGAATGAATCACTATGTTTCCTTAGATCACACGTATTCGAGTTACGACGGCGAGTGAAACACAATCGAATTTGAGTTTATCCCAAAACAAACACGTACAGGTTAATCCCATTGATTGTAAGGATAGTTATTTACTTCTGGGAATATCCATTTTCCTTATGCTTGTTTATTAGGCTTGCTTATGCCAATGTGTATCGAAGAAAACATAACAAATAAGCCCCGTGAATTGAATTTCTACAAAGACGTAGTATATAACACAGGTGTAGTGTACTATATTCCCGGGTGACGGAATAATTTGATCTGTGCCACGTCAAAGTAATCACGTTTGGCAACAACCGCATCTCGCTGAAGAATTTAGGCTGAGGTAAATGTGCTTGCAACGTCGTTCTTATACACAACAGTCGATGTGCCATTCTGCGATCTAAATCTCAAAGATGCACTTAATGACTATTTCGTATATATAACACAATACAAAAGACGAATGTGATATTTAGTACTTCACATTTTCAACTGTAAAGATCACTTAAAAGTGTGATCCATGTGCTCAGCCCGGCAGTTTCAAACAATCTCAATAACATTTATATAAAACTTATGACTTTGTACTTTTAACAGCTTAACTTTCTTGTGCTTTCAATCAAAAGGGCTAAATTTCATTCATAATTTCGCTCTTTTCCACTTTTTGTTTTAATTTTCCGTTTAATTCTTATTACTTATGTGTTTATATCTTCTTAGTTGATGCATGACCAGCTGTATTATTTTATATAATTACCCAAACTCGTAATATTTAAACCTGCGGTTACATTTCATCAGTCTATCTTATGTGCTGAATTTGTGCCCTTGTTATTTTTTCGATCATTATTCTTCAACAAAATTTAATAAAATAACCCACTACTGTCACACGGAGATTTCAGTTTCAACAACAACTATTTATATTTGACATCAAATCGACCGTGCAACAGTAACAGGAAATGCCATATTAACCGTGTTTTCGTCAGATTTACTCAAATATGTTATTCACAATCGACTCGTAATAGTTATCGGGGCTTGTGACGAGAAAAGAAAATTCGGAAAGGTTGGCGATTGGTGACTGGATAGAGAACTGTAGGCAGGTCTTTATTAAGTCAAAATCGCGAAGTTTTATATTTCATAAGGTGTGTTAGTAAAAAAGTAATAAATCTGCAATTAGGTCTTTATTAAGTCAAAATCGCGAAGTTTTATATTTCATAAGGTGTGTTAGTAAAACAGTAATAAATCTGCAATTAGGTCTTTAAATATTTTCATTAGTTCAGAGACTAGAGTGAAAGTAAAGACCACAACAGCTGTGAGATATTTTCATGTTTTATAAAATGGAAAAGGCGTTTAATAAATTGGTAAACCGAGTAAATTTTAGCGAAATTCCGAAAGGCAAGTATAATATCGACCCTCAATAACGGCACTACATTTCATAATCATTTTGGACGGTTGCTTCTCTATATGTTTAATGAAAAGGATAAAGATCATATTGTTTTCATATATAAAAACAGAAACATGGCGGAAAAACAAAAATCCACCCGTCTTCTGCACATTTTTTGTATATATATATTTGTATTTTAACTAACATTTGACAACACAATCTTTATTAGTCGAAACACTATGTTGAATTCCCCTTCAATATTTAGGCGCTGGCGATACATTCGATCTGACCTAAAGGTTACATGTTTCTTAAGATCGTATCGTATCATTTGTTGAGTGAACCTTATGTTTATGCTGATACATTCACCAATTTATTAAATGTTGAATTCTATTGTTCTCAAATATTCAAGCAATATTTCCTAACATTGCCAAGATATATAATGTCACTCTTTGTCTTCAAAATATGACAAAGAATCGGACGATATCTATTTTGCGAGTGGTAATCAAGTTATGCCTTTCTTTACTCACGTTAACTCTGGGAGAAATGGAATTTGACACCACTTACGGACAACGATGGAATTATCAAACCATTGTTTGTTTGTTTCTTTATGATCTATAATTCTACTGGCGGTCTGGATATTTGACCAAATCTAACCGAATGTGTCTGAAATTGCCCTGCTTTTTTTATTCAATCGCCTTATCCGTACTTTTTGAAACATATCATGGATTGTCACGAGTTTACAGCTTTTTATTTGTTTCGCATTAAAAATATGTTCGATTGTTTTTAACCATTCTGTCATTGCTTCACTTCCAATAACTGGAATAATATATATCATAGGTGGTTATGCCCCGTTTATAAATCGTTTATTTTAACATCAGGAACTTCCCTATATCCACGATCAAGTTTGGAATTTATGTTAATGTCAGGTCTGCTCCGTCTCCATTCAAAGATCAACCAGTGGCATCTACAGGACGACCGATGACGTCATCATCGTGGGCGACGGGTTCGTTCGGAACTAGGGATGACGACAAGCGAATTCACCACTCCTTGTTAACGTCTGCGTCTCGCGCTTCTATAAAACGATTATCTTTCACGTCCCCTGCAGTAAACGTTGGCCCGGCAGACGTCAGAGATGAAATAATGGATGAAATTGTTAGCAAGCCTTTGGTTTTTCAAAGAAATAATTTCAAGGTATGGAACTAAATGTGGTTTGCGCATGTAGCAACATTATGTTACTTCTCAATCCCAACAATTTCACATTACAGCTTGCGGCGTTTTGCAATTCGGCGTTAAACATTTCGGCTACATTAGTAATGTGTTAACGGTATTCCTCGAAATATTCTTTTTTTCAGTCACAAAGCGCACCGCCTGGTGGACGATATGCTCCAGGTATACTGAAAAGCGCGGGAACAAGAAGTACAAGATGGTTGTCATCTCCAAAACGGGCGAGAACGTCATATAGGAGACAAAGAAACGGTACAAAACTTTGGGAGAAGAGTCCTGGACCTTTTATGACAGTAAAGGTATAGTATATAATATATATATATATGGAATAAATTCTATTAGACATTGTGCTCAAAATATCTTCAAGTGATAAATCACTACTGTGTCAAAGTTGCTCTATGAATAAGTTCGTCAGACAATTTGCAATTTTACTCTGAGACGTCACGTTTCAAATATTGGTGCGTTATTATTAATTCACGTGCTCTAAGTACATATCGGGAAACATTCAAAAGTAATGCTGGTAAAGTACATTACTTTATATGAGGTTTGCAATAAGCAGCTTGTTGAGACTTTTCAACATTTCTGCTTCATTTTAAGCTCAAAACAGCAATTGTGTAAGCTTATCGATACACATAAGGTCTTTAAGATAGCCTATCTATTTACTTGTGTCAGTGTTGAGGATCATTTCTCTTTTGAAGGTTTCTGGTACCGACCTTTGGGTTATTTCAAATTCAACTCCAACCTCCTATTTTGATAACAATCAAGACGATGGATTACGAGAAACATCGGGTGCAAATGGCACAAAAGTTCCCAAATGGGAAGACACTGCAGAAGCTGTACCAAAACCAGAACAAACCTCCCCTCCAAGGTTAGAGTTCATTGTTTTACTTGATAAATATTCGAATAAGAATTCGGACGTGAATACTTGCGATGTATGGTAGATGCTCCAAATCACAAATTCCCGAAGCTTATCGCATTCTGAAATACTAATTTGACTGTAGAGGAAATACGGAATTTTACCGAGACTACGAGCTAATTTTTGTATTTTGCAGGCATGAACGTTTACTCGGAGCTCCTGCACAATTTGCACCTACGATACAATGGCTACGGTATGATCCAAGTGGCCCGGCGAGAAAACCTCCCGTCCTAACTCCTTTCAAAGGTGTGTTTTTAATCTAATTCCTTTATCACAGATGGAGCCGTGTGTGTCGCAAAGTAATTCAAATCTCAAACATCCATTTTTATGATCATGCAATAGTCTGAGATACTCTTTTTAGATATGAATATCAAACCACGGACTAAATAAATTGTTCGTTTATATAGTGAAGTGTTTTTTATTAAAATCAATTCAAAGCTGCTGAGTACTAAATAATATCTAAAAATATTCCAAGCATATAGCCTACATTTTATTTTCATTTTATGCGTTTTTTACTGATGTCCAAATTTAGAATCATTGTCAAACGGACATCATGGAAAATATTACAACGTAGAGAGTTCTTTAAGTGGAAAAGTATCGCAACATCTTAATGCAAGTCCGGGTGTTAGAATTGCTCGGAATGGAACAGTACTGTCACATAGTTTAAAGGTAAATTCATCATTCATCATTCGGCAGAGAATCAGATAAGAGTTTGCATATGGGAACAAAGAAATCTGTTTTCGCACTTATGCTTTTATAATTGACGAATTGATAGGGAAAATGTATAAATATTCAGCCGTTTCGAACTAGCAGGAAATAAAAAGCTTAACGTGCTGAAATCTGTTTGATAATTTCAAATAAATTCAGTAACAGTTCTCTAATATAAAATTTTCAATCATTAAATGATCGTATTTTACAATATCAGCTTTTTAGCGTCCCAATCTTCTTGCAGGCATGCATTAAAATATGAGTCTTGATTTAAAAAAGGCTGTGAGGGTTGTAAGGAATAGGATAGGTTATGTTGCCATATTCCGATTTTATTCAAGTTCGAAAGCTCCGATGGATCAGAACGTGAATCGGACAAAGAATCAGTCAGTGACGACAGCGACATAGACATTACATCCATAATCCCGGCCAAACTCGCTGCAAAAATAAAGAAGCATTACGTGACACCAGAAAACGAGAAAGAAGAATCAGAAGATGAAGAATTAAGTGAATCTGAAAAAGATGAGACGAAAAAAGAAGATTCAGATGAAGTTGTTGAAAATGGAGTAAACGAAATTTCGGAAGACGAAAAGTAACTTTTAGTGTTTATAATATTTAATATAAAAAGTCTATCCATGTATTATAGTAAGTACAATAAATATAGCATATAAGTAATACTACAGCAAATACAAAGCGAAATCACCCCCTAAGTAAGCCTCACTGGAGAAAAATTTCTCACCAATTGGGAAAAGTAGGCTTAGTTTGTTATTATATAGGTTCCGGGGCATTCGATACCTAATGCCATATTTTCAGCCACTCTCCCGTTTGTTTTCTTGTTTTTTGTAGATGTTCACAATCTAGTAAGTGGTAGCGACAATTTTTTCATGTACAGGGAAGAAGTAGAGAAGTCTGATGCGAGTTTTGATGAATCAGAAAAAATGTCAGAAATATCGTCAATTTCAGAAGATGAAAATGAAAGGGAAGAAGCCAGAGATGAAGCCAAACCTATGCTTACAAAAGACAACTTGGCACTTCTGACTAAACTTTCAAAACATGATTTATCTAATCCAATATTAGATGGCTCCAACGAGTCGGCGACATCATTTGAAACTCTGGAAACTTATGAACTTGATGAAGTCATGGAGCAAAATGGGGAACATTTTGAATCACCTAGAATTGACAATGCCGAACAAGACGACGTTTGGCGTATTTTAGAAAATGGAACTCCTAATTTTTGGATAACTAAATCAAAGCAACAAAAAATGGCGATTCTTAAACGTATGAGACGACAGAGAAAGTCAGAGCAACTTCCATCAGGCAGAGAATCTCTTCAAAGTGGTAAAACGAAAGAGGATTACCAAGAAGTAATTCTTCCACTTTGTTGGGCCGATGAACTCAACAAATCAAATTCCAAGATTCTACAAGTCAAAGCAAGCTCTGGTGTGACAGCTGAACAGGTAATATGTTAGCGATGTAGACGATCATAGGGTTATAAATATTATAAAATAGAAAGTTGTGGACGTGCAACCATTAATAATAATAAACAGAAGTTGTTTTTTTTTAAATAAAAATATCACATTTATAAAGACACAATAATACATAAATATCATTGCACTTAAAAGAGCGAGCTTATGATAATTTTCCATTTCTTCTTATGAATTGACAGTTTACACCATTTCTAGTCGCAATAACTTTTTCGCAGTTAATAATATATTTTGTCATATATAAAAATTGACAAAATTGGGGCATTTCATTACGTAGTTTACATTTTGTTTTAAATATCTGGCAACACAATTTATACCTTAGATTTGCCCAACTCCCAATAAAGTTTCTCTATGTGTCAAATTGAGGTTTAATCCATACTCAGCCGTTAGCCAAGCATGAACTATATCCCCCAAGATTGCTGCACAAATTCACAGATATAGTAAATGTAATACAGTTTCAACGTGTATATTACAAAATGTGCACTTTGGACTTGGTGTCTTATTTATTCTATATAGCAGGTCATTAGTGGGTACTGCTCGCAAAGCAAATTTAACATGGAAGGAGCGAAGTATCGATTCAATAAAGCAATAAAACACTTATTCATACAAGGAAAACAAGTTTTCCAATTCAAGTTCTTGCACAATTCTTTGGACCATTTTCTATTTTTCTCAGTAGGCAGCAAAAGTTTTACATTACAAAGCTTATCATATATATCGGAAAATTTTATCATTTCTTCTAATATCTTTGATCAGACTAAAATGAGGATTGGCTTGAGAGGTTTTTGATAAATTTGAACAAAAGCTGCAAATTGTCCGATTTCCGTATTTGTACCGTGTAGCATATTTCAGCCAGAATTTTACTTTTGGAAATCTGCCGATTACTACCAGGTACCATAGTTTACCCGTGACATTTTCGGTACTTGGACAATGCTATCAATAGAACAAGAATTCAGTTATTCTTACATTGCTCAACAGAATGAAAACACTTCACTTCCGGTAGTGTTTCACAAGGTTATTCGATACGATGTACTACCAACCGCGACGACATCGTCACCTTTGAGGTCAGCTGTTTCATCGTCCAAGAACAGGTCAACGTCCGCAACTTCACATAATGGAGGCATATCGTTTGGAATTAAGCCATCCAAAGGCTACCGTGCACCAGTCTCAACGCCTCGATCAAACAGGTAACTTTGTTGCATGTCTTATAATTTAAATTTCCAGATTTAAACACATGTTTGCTATTGTATAGCTAAGTGCTTGGCAAACGAGTTACGTAGCACATCTTGTATAAGCAAGGCAGCATGTCATTATTGGACACAAAATGTAGTTATGGATCGTCTTTTTATTATGTTGTTGTTGATGATGGTTTTATGTTCTTGTAGTTACTATTGTTGTTGTGGAAAATCGCCTTTTTCTTTAATTAATTATAGTGTCTATTGCTTTGGAATTATCAGTAGTTAAAGATTGTATTTGTCGCTAGAAGGCTATTACTTTTGTTTATTTCAAAACTTTCTGTGGGCTCTATGGGGTTCGTTTTTCGTGTGCTATGACGTCATCAAAATTAGAAATTGCGCACCTTGTGGCGGTTCCACCTTCGCTGCTATGTGGTGGTCATGCGAAGTCGTGAAGACTGCGGCACCGGTAGTCTACTGTGAAAAATTACATTTTCCTTCTTCGTTTTGGCTTTCGTATCCATATATTTGAGCATTGCTCACTTTTTCTAATTAATGCTAATATCATTCAATACCCACTGGCAGATCCGTCCGAACAAAATCAGCAAGCACCGTGTCGTCAGCATCTGCATCAAGCACTCGCGGACACAGCGCCCCACACTCCATCGTCAACGGGACAGAAATCGTTCGACAAAGCATCGATCTCGCGGACTTGCTACGTGTCACACCAGACTCGCTTCCCGCCAAAATGGCACAAGTGTCAACTCGTTCACACTCAGTGAAGAAGGAACACGTCACAATCGGTTTGTATCCGAATTAATAAAAAATTAGGTAAAAAATTGATGGAATTATCATTCTAGGGGTGTAGGAAGCCACCTATTTGTGAAATGATAAATTTTTATTCAATCCGTTGTATAACCATTGTGCAAAGGAATGAATGGACCAATTCTGATTGAGAGGGAACTGAATAGCTTGATGTTTTTATCCTTAGCTCTGCTTAAGTATTCAAACAATGAATATTTGACATTGACCCTTGACATTTGACAGTGCACGAAGATCATAATGAAAACGAAAGTTTGCCATCTAAATCCACAACTCATAGAACAGAGAACACAAAAGATTTGGTTGATTCCAATAATGTTCATATGGAACAAGATGATAAATTTCACCTCGGTCCAAAAGAAAAGTCAGACAATAGGTAAGGTTTTATATTTGTTGAAATTTACGTTGATGCACATTGGGAATTGGATTGTTAAACTAAACTAAAGGATTGGATTGTTAAACTAAGTTAAATTAAACTACTTTAGATCAAGCTATGTAAAGGGACTGAAACTTATGGGCTAGGGGTATATTCACTTGGCTAACACAGACAGTCCCCAAACTCATAATAGAAGTAAAGAACTAAAATAAGAAAAATCGGAATAAAATTATGGCCTAACTCTAACCTGGTTCACACACTACGGGAGTACCCAATGCAGGACCCAATTAGATAAACAGACAAAAACACGCCTTGTGGGCTCTTTCCCCCATTGAATGATTATTTAACTTTGATCTATTTTAAATTAATTTCAAAAATGGTAATTACAAAGAAAGGTAATTCAATGCAGGACTTATTGAAGAAAATCCTAATCACAAAAAATATTTTTTACTCTCTAGAATTACCGCCCCAGTGGGTACAATAAACCTGTCTGGAATTAACTCTGATTACACAACCAGTGGAACACCAACATTTTCATCCCAGGTATGTATCAGATTTACAATATCTTTTCTGTCAACGATTATATTATATATTATTAGTTATTACATGCTTTTTACATAAAACATTTGTATTTCAGAGACGCACAGACGTAAAATCCTCATCTAATTTCACTACACCGCAAAACACGCCGAAGACTCCAATGCTTCATCATTCAGTTGTACTCACTCCTAGGAACTCTGCAAGGGCCGCGCAGCACGGAGCAAAACGCCTCCCTGACATGGAAGAGGAAATGCCAAATGGAGGCGATTCAGCACAAGATGACATTCCTTTGAGTACAAAACGAGTCTCTCTCTCCGGACAAGAACAGCAAAACGGTACAGTACAGTGAGAACATTGCGAAATTGTACCTGATTCAAACGGGAATTGCCATACACTTAGTGGCTGAATCTCCAAATGCATATTATTAATGCATCTCCACATACCTATTAAAAAAATTCGTGTGCATATTATATGGAAGTTTAATATTTTTTCACTTACATTTACAGAATTCGAAATAATGTGTAGGCCTATAAACCACAATATGTATGCTATAGATATACGGGTACACCCGTAGTGTGTGAACCAGGTTAGGGTTAGGCAATATTTTAATCCGATTTCCCCTATTTTAGTTCTATTTGGGGTTTTGGGACTGTCTGTGTTAGGCAAGTGAATATACCCCCATAAGTTTCAGTCCCTTTACACAACTTGATGTAAAGTAGGCGAACAAAATTAGTTACCTCCATCTTGGTACACACACTTCTGGAGCGCATAATGAAATATATATCGTCACGCTAATAGCCGAATTGCATAAGTCATTTTTAGCAGTTTTGAGAAAAACGTGAAATACTTCCTAATGATATTGCTATGCCATTGAGAATCAATAATTTGCCATAGTTTAATTTTTTGATCGTAGTCGGATTTAAGTTAATTTGTATGACGCAGTCATGTGACGTCATAATGGCGCACTGTGGCTTAGGCAGAAATGTGTCTATGGCTTGGGGACATATGCAATTTTGCAACTTGACTATATGTACCAGTCCTGAAAACCTAACAATTCAAAACGAATGTAATTCTTAGTATATACGATGTCTAATTCCCAAAATAGCTAATCTGTTTCAATTACATTATTTTTTATGTTTAAAAATATATATTTCATCAATATACCACGCTCTGCACATCCACCGAAATAAGACTAAAGTTAAATATAAAGAATAAAACAGCAATGTACCCTATATAAAAGCCAACCAAGGTGAATTGGACTCAGACAGTGAATATCACAAGTGTGCGCCTTCCTATACTGTAGAATAAATTGAAATTTATAAGCGCTAAGCTAGAATCTGAGATGCAAAAACTCAAAAATCCTTCGCCGAGGTTATTTTGCCTTTGTGACGTCACAATAGTTCTGCGTTACCATTCATTATGACGAAACAATTGAACAAATTTGCATATCGTACAAAATCTCTATTTTTATGGGTTTCGGAATTCTTAAAATAAAATCTGAGTTAACAGACAGGTGCGCAGCATTACATAAATACCTATTTTATGAAAAACTCAAAACCGCCAAAAATGACCTTACGCAATTCGGTTATTAGCGTGACGATATATAACAGCCAATTAAAGTCTCTCGATTTTTAAAGTTGGTATTTCGTCAACAAATATTTCTATTTTACAGGGATTACGCCAAGAACGGCATTTATGAGTCGAACGAGAGGAGGCTTTTCGTCTGTACCTTTATCTCAAAGTCGGTTGAAATCTGGCTCACTCCGGGGATCTGCAAGTCATTTCTTACCCTCACACAACGGGATGACCACCCAAAGTAATGCAAAGCCTATGAAGGCATATCCAAACATGCAAACTGGAATAATAAATGGAACCACCGACATATCTACAGTACAGATAGGACAGAACATTTTAACAGGTCACGCTATGAAAACAGCCGACTTTATTCAAATCACACAATCGTTACATATATCAAATCGTTCTGGAGGTCAAGGAGATGTTCCAGGTGTGACAGGTAACAAAATGTATGACAGTTACATGCGAGAATTAGCGGCGCACAAAGCCACCGAATACGAGGAAAGAGGCGATGCCAAAAGTATGATACTTGGTCGTAGCTTGGGTGGTACATCTGGCAAATCATCCGGATTTTCCTTACCGCGTTCGGTGAAGAAGAATCTATCTGGGTATCGTTCACAACAACATAGTCAAGCACCGAATATAACACCGTTCACTCCTCAAGCAGGTCGACGATCTGGTCTGACGATGGTACCACAGGATGCGAAGATATTACAACATCATTCTCATGTTCCACAAAAAATAGGACCCTTTGGTTTAGGTGTGAAAGGTGATCAAGTACGTCTCAACATTGATAAAAATATTCACAACATTTACAGAGATTTAGGTTTACTGAAGAGTGCTAATGAGATAACAAAAACGGAAGACCATATTAGTAGTCCAGGGAGGTCGCATCTATCTTCAGCTAAGTCACGAACCACTGTGAAAGAAGAGTCTGTCATTAGCATTCCAACTGCATCAGAGGCGTCCGCTGCCAAAGCTTCTTTGACCACGTCGAAGTACATGTTGCCAGATCAAAGTGATAAAATTGCCCTCACAAAGCGCCCATCGTCTTCCAATCCTTCAGTTATCGTACAAGATTCCGGAACGCAGTGGAGCGGAAGAACAGTGAAATTTGGTATGTACATTAAATACAAGTTCAATATTATTCATAGAGGAGGGATACGCATTGCTTTAGAATTTAGATTGAATACACTCTAAAATATCGGAATAATGTAGCCTAATGCTAAACTGTTGTGGGTCGTTTCGTGAAGTCGCTGCACTGCAGTGGCGAATAGTTTCAATTTTTAACTTTGGGGAGATGCCGCTTTCGCTTTTTTTTCAATTCTCTCTCATCTATCACCCTCACCTTTCTGTTCTCTTTTTTGGTATAAACTAGGATTGTTTCAGGTTGCATGTCACCCACACTATCTATATACACGTGCATGTTTCCATTTAATATTTTTTTTTGGTTATGAAATAAAACGATTTAGGTTTTTTGTTATCAAAATTAATAAAAAATCAAACTTACAGGTGAGATCGAAAGTCGAGCTAGCCCAACAACAGATCAGAGCGCCGAAGATCATTCTAAAAGAAATTCTCTAACAGAAGACCTTGCGAAACCGCCTTGTAATGGACAGTCTATTGAGCACACAGATTCTCATCCAAAAACACCCGTAAGCATTTCTTCTGAAGAACCTAAAACGGATACTGACGCCGTCAAAGATCCAGTGAAAGAAGTTACGTCCTCCGAAAACAACGATTCGGCCCGTGGTGAATCGCGTTCGCCCACAAGTGACCGTTCATTGGCCAGGGCAATTTCGCGCACAAGTGACGCGGTTAGTGCTTCAGAGAGCAACTTTAGTGTGCAGTCCATTCAGCCAGCGCCGATCGAAAGAAGTGCATCTGAAACCTTGCTAGATCGTTTAGCAGAACTTGGCGACAGAGATGGTGAAACAAGTGACGTCACTGAGGATGAAGCAGATGACGTTGACGTTAAAGGGGTTACAAGGGTAACTGTAAATATGCCTGTTAAAACAGACAACGTCTCGTGATGCACGTTATTTCAAAAGAATCAAACAATTCATTCACTTTAGTACAAATTGCTTTGGGATAACTGAGGCATGTCAAACTTCACGTTTCTAATAAAATACAATTAATTTCGACAGACTAATATGAATTATTAGTGCATGTAACGGCGCAATTTTATAGTTTTGTTTCTCAGTTGAATTTTGTTGACATTTGACCTCCGCCCATGCTCATATCCGCGGTTGCTACGATTTTAATGGAGGACACGATGTGTGTGTAATTTTATTATTTATATATTTTTATTAAATACAAGATTTTTTGTATGAAATTTTTTTTATATTCATTTTTGCTTTTAAAAGTTGTCTGAAAGGAGTTGATTGGAAATTAGAAATCATCCAACGTCACATTTTTCAAAACAAAGATTATAAAAAATGTACTTGAATTCGTTGTTATAGCGTCGTCTTTTGTCGCAACAGACCACACTGCTCACTAAAATTAATTTCTTTATCTTTGATTCAGTCACAAAAGATTTTGCGAATTCGAAATTATTCTACTACCGATCTAGTTCAACTATCTGATCCAATCTTCTTCAAAGATCTTGTGAGCACTCAAAAAATAGGGAAACTAGCAACTAACAATTTTCAACCCATACATCATACGGTTGCCTGTCTAAGGCCTCATACTGAGCATTGACATGAAAACACATTTAATCAAGATATAAAATTTGACCCTTTCATACACAAGTATCATATTTATCTAAGTTATAATCACGATGAAACCAAGAACCTTTTTTTCAGATTTTTATTTCACACTTTCATTGTCATGTTGCAAAAATACTGAAAAAATGTAAAACAAACTCACTCTTCAAAATATAATTGTGTAGCAGACCAAGAATTCGGAGCAAATTAAAGATATGGTTCCAGAAATACACACAGAATAAAGAGTCGTAATCGTGACGAAATGCATCATAAGAAAACTTTCTTAAACTGAAAAATCAGTATATCGTCATAAGAATATCAGTAGACTTCATCCATTCGAATTTTACATTAAAGACCCAATAAACACAATCAACAAAAGCGAAATATTTGAACTCGAATCGGGAAAAAATGATTAAAAATTTTGAGAAAAACCCTTAAAACGCAATTTTCAAAATAATACCGTTGAAAGCCAATGAAACACAGTATTCATTAGAACTTGAATAAACCATTTAAAAACAAATTCAATGAAAGTGACTGTTACTTGAGACTAACCCGCTGTCCTTCATGCCTTAGCGCTAGTGGATCCGTATGCGTACAATGCAAATCAAAGTCTTTCTGCGCTGCAGGACTCTTAAATTGTATAGTACGGTCAACGAAAGTACTTCGCGACTCGACTATCCATGTTTAAAACTTGGCAAGTTTCAGATCGAAACAATGGTTACACCACACTCCACAGTGTTATTTGGCTCTTCACGTATTTTAAACACATTCAATGTTAGTTTCACAATGAAAATAAAAATTTATCATCATGCATATTCAAAACTAAAATACTCTACTGTTACGAATAGATCAAATACTTGATTGGAAAAAATTTCGACTCAATCACGAAGCCAAGAGAGCATATTCTGAAGACATACTCATAATTACAGTACTGATTAAGATTAGTGGAATCAATAAAAAAATTGAAGACATTAGTAAAATTAACAACGTAATATATACTATTGGAATTTTCACAAAAATTAGAATCAAAATATACAAATTAATCCTGAGATAGCAAATAATCTGAATAATGTTGATAATTGGACAAAAAAAATAATGAGAAAAATACTTGAACAAGCAATAATTTTACCCTCCAAAAGGCTGAAGAATAAACTACTGTATATCTCTAACTAGTTGGGAAATTAAAAATAATGAAAAATCTCAATAGAGCTGGTGAATTCAAATACGACATAATATAATACTTATAGTCTACTTCATTAAAAAGTTGGTTTTGCGTTAAAAAGAAATGGTAAACCATTGTTTTCCACCATCCCTTTCCAGCAAGTTTTGTCAAAATTTTGAGTTGAAGGAAATAAATCATTATATGGATTATTTTTTTGATAACATGCATTTTTGGAGGAATAAAATATATGGAAAATACAGTTTTATCAGCAAATTTAAAGTTTTTTAAACTCGAGTTGAGTTGAAAACTGCACAGCAGTTAAGCTTATCATCGGCCATGATAGAATGATATAAAAGAAAAAAATAATACACTGGTTGGAACAATATAGAATGTAAAACAAAAAATGCGCAGCGAAAAGAAATTTGAAAAAAAAAATAAGTATGCATCATGAGCATAGATAGATGACTTTAGGAATGTCAACATCACAATAGCCTATGTTACATAGTTTTTGTATATTGTTGTAATTTTTATTGCAATTAATTTAATGTACAACATAAGCATGCTAAATTTACACATAAGTTCAATTACCCCTTGAATTATTTCAATTTAGTTGTGCCCCTCAATCTGGAGTTTCTAGGCTGACTTTAGTTAGTAAAAGCACAGGAAATTAGTTAATTAGTTTCCCAATCTTTGTTATCGGATTTTCCTTACTTTCTTTGAGTTTGCATTTTGGAGTTACATCGGATATAAATTCAGAGTTAGATCGGACGGAACTGGATTCAGTTGACATGTGAGTAGGATCGAGAGTGGCACAAAGAGGGTTAGTGAATGAGACAGATTTGAGTGACGAAGCAGATCGAGACCTCAAACCTGAGTCTGTCGTATCGTGAGATGATTGACTATCGCACGAATGATCAGCGGAAAAGAGAATATCCTCATTATAACCCGAATCTCTATTGCTTCTTTGAGTGGAATGGTATTCACTGGGACAAAGATCTTCCATGACGGGGCCAATAGTGTGGGGATTTTCGTGAGAAGTACGACGTCGTGCTCCCCGGTTATGATTGTATTGCGAAGCAGAATCATTATAAAGTGACCAAGAAGGTGGCGCCCCAGAGTCAGGAGGAGGGGGAGATAAAATACCTATCTTCCTCCTCCTGTTTGTTGACACCATACCAGAATAAAGAGTCATTTTTATTCCTGTGCTTGACATTCCTGATGAGCTACTAGAAGAAGAAACACTGTAGTCCCCAAAAGATGACCCTGTGCTATGCTGCCTTCCGATTCTACACGATGCCATTTGTGCAGCCAAGCAATCACTGGTGACGTCACAATTGTTTGAATTAGTAGTTGGGCAGCAGCATGCAAAATCGCTCTCCTTTTCAGTTTCATGAACATCATTCAAAATGTTATTATTGATTTCCGGCATATCATTCGTCGTCAATTGGATGAATTCCGGAGCGGACTTGACTCTATGTTTCATATTAGGGTCAGTATATATTGATTTAGGTTGTAAGTCTGTACCTTCTTCAGGAAGAATGTCCAAGGCAGTTTGCTCAAGGAAAACGTCGTCGGAAGTTCTCGATCGACGTTTTCGTATGAAATCAGCATTGGTATTTTGACATCTTAAAAAAGGAAACTCAAATAAAAATACAAATAAAGTCCAGAACAAAATATATTGTAAATAAAAAGTCAAAACTTAAAATTGAACTATATGCTAGAAAATAGCTTTGGCAGAGTATATTCAAAAACTAGTACAATAAAATATCTACCTCGCTATTTTTTTCTTTCTTGGCAGTGTAACATAAGCTGGATAGACATGAGTTTGATACTTCCCTCCCAATGGGGGTTTCCCACTCGTTGATGACCTTGGGGAACCTCTTTCCGATGTAACAGATGACCTTGAACTATTACCACTAGTGGGAATATTGTGCGCTAGAGTAAATAGTGAATTTGCATTTTGTGTGAGATCTGGTTCGCTTATAGACCTGCGGAGATTTCCCAATTTTTCTGTCATTATTGACAACACGCTTGTTAAAGACCTCCGGTCTATTGCTCGACCGTTGTTATGCCACCATGACAATAACCGTTGACCTCTTGGTGATAACGCCATGGATCGAATGAGCGCTTGTTTTAATTGTGTTTGGAAAGCAACAATTCCTCGAACTGTCTCTTGCTCATCTGGGGGCAGTGTTTGGGGCGGGGTGGGTGAAGGGGGGCAGGGAATTGTCACATCGCTGATAGATGCTGCGTTCGTACAGCAAATGTTTGACAACTTTCTCATTTCATAATGTGGTTCAGGGGTGAGTGGTCTGGGTAATAGGGGGTCTTCAAAATAGTGGGGTAAATCTTTATTCCCAACATCGAGTAGTAGACTTTTGGGACGGGCAGATTGCAAGCGATTTCTTGTTCTGCGGCGAGAATGTTGCGGTGAACGAGGCGGCAGTCCTGGTGATGGAAGGTCAAATGTCATTTCCATTAATTCGTAGCTTGGTTTGTCAAACAATTTCTTTTCTTTCAGTTCCGTATTCTGTAAAGCAAACAATAGATTACTACAAGCAAAGAAATCAAAAAAAAATAGTAAAAACTATAGTCAATTATCATGAGCTTTCTTATTAATTTTAAAAAATCTGAATAAAATACCACTGATATTAATGAATTAAGTCGTCCAATGAAAAGCAAAATTATATTCAGTATAGAATTTCCTATGTTTGGAAAAATATTTACAAAATGTGCCACACATAATTGGATTCTAAACTTGAATACATTTGATTAAATTAGCCATCCAATGAAACATATTTTAACATCTGAGGAGTAATGCCATTCATTCCTAGAGCATATTTGTCTATGTATGAACTAGAAAAAAAATTTCGATTCAAAGATAAAATTTCCATAATTACACTGGAACAGAGTAACGCCAATGAATGATTAATCTCTATAGATTTCAATATTCCAGATTGATACCGGTAACTATCACTTAGAATAGTATAGGATTTACATATTTATCCTGGGGGAAAGGAAAGTTAATAAGACTTAATCAAATGGCGAACCACAGCCTCTTGTCCGGTTACCAGTCCATGTTGGGCATGTGATTAGTTAGCCAATTATTTATTTTCAGAAGCATGGACTTGCTGGTAGAGGAAGCCGTAACTGACCAGAGGTTATGTGAAGAGTCCAGCAATTCTTCGCACATAACTATTCGTGCATGGGTTGCAAACCTGCGAACCCACAAAGGGTAATCAGAGATGCGATGGCGATCTTATTCCTAATGCTTAGCATGATGCGCCACATGTTTTAATAACAACCAAGCAACATTACTAATTTATTTACCTCCAAAGCACTGAATGGGTTAACGAAAGCACTGTTCAACGAATCAATCATGTCATCAAATTGATCAACATTGCTTAAGAATGAATTTCTAGAAGAAGCAATGATAGATGCAGCATGACTGATGAGTTCTTTAGAAATATCTGAAGCAGATCGTGAATGTCTCTCGAACCCAGAAGATGATCGCCGACGAGCTTTGATATGTTGAGTTGGGATCTGAGAACAGAAAAAATTGTTTATTTCATAAGAAGTCATGGTAATTCCAGTAACCAGAAAACTCAACAATGTCCAATGACTGAAAAATAAAGACAAATTTTAGTCTTTTGAAGTCACAATAATTACCTAAACGAGAATATCGGTCAGAGACCGAAGACTTATCGATCGAAAGTTAGGGGATCCCCAAAACAGAAACTGCGGATTCGATTCGAAAAATTCTGCAAACCCGAACTGGTTTGTTTTGAATAGTTTTCAGCCAATATCAAAAATGTAGGAAACAATAGCCAACTCCCCATGTCGTCGTCGAAATACTACTCGAGGAAATACTTTTATGAAGAATTATGCAGATCCGAACTGGATTGTTTCGATTAGTTTCCAGCCAATAGCCTATTTACCAATCCTATAGTTTGTGTCAAATACAACGGCGCTAACCCGGGTTGCGACGGCTATTCAAACACAGCCTAGCGATATTTTGGTGAGGAATTCTGCAACCCCGAACCTGATAGAGGGATATGGACATTGCTTAAACTTTAAAGAGTAATTATGAGTAACGAGATACGATCTCGCGGCGTGTATCCTTCGCTCTGACTCAATAGCGACACCACGGGTCCCATCACTAATTAAATGATAACTCACTAATTATAAGACATAATTCATCCAAAATCAATACGCTTCTGGTCCGAGATATGATGAATGCACATGCAAAATTTGGAGCAAATTCAACTTCACTTTCGAGAGATATCGCGTGTATCTAACAGACAAACAGACAGACAAATACCTATCAACTTACTTACCGATCGGGATCGATGAGTAATAAAAAAGTGTGAATAGCTGTTGAAAACATCCCTTTTATTACTGTTGTTAGTATTATAGTTTTTGAAAAGTACCTTATTAATAAGTGGAGTATTTTCCTTATCTGAGTTGAGAACAACTGATGTGCTTGGCATTGTCTTTCTTGGTGAAGAAGATTCTGATAAACTTGTTATTGAAGGAAGTTCAGACAGAATTGTGCTATGGCGTTTCATAGGTTCTTGTGCTGTAATTAATAAAAAAAAAATGAATTATTACAAATCTGGATAAAACGTAGCAATTTCGTAATAAATTATTTAAAATAATCAAATTTATTGATAAATATATTCAATATCAAGCATACTAGTCAAAGTATAATATATATGTCTGACTGACTATGAGTGACGAAGCATGCTGCCTAAATGGCTTTCGAATGAGCCAAGAATGCATGGCCAATTTAGAAAAAGGGCTATTTTGATTTGAAAATATCTGAGTCCAAAATTGAGACAAAAGTTAAATATCATACAACTTGAAGTTTGAACTACTTATAGGTAGAATAAATTGAATCAAGATTTTTGTGCTTCACGACGTGTAATACCAAACATCGTTCAATTATCTATTGCAGGTTGATTTTGCAACAGAATCATGCAACAGGAAAACATGACATCCTAATCCAAAATAGAAAGTAATTTCCAAAACCAGACAGAGCGAACATAAATTGTCAGCCAAGTCTGTCATTTATCATGACATGTTAGCTTATTTCAGTTGACAGCAAGAAAATCATGACAAAATTAATTTATTTATATTGGAATTTCCAAGAATTTTCTACAAGGCATAATTTGCATCATTTCAATCAAGTAAAAGCAAAAAAACACTTTTAAAAAACGAAACTTTGGATATATTGAGCAGCACATGACAGGGTACTTGACTGAAATTCAATGGCAAACAATAATCATGGATACTACTACACAGGATATTCATAAATTCCCAATACAATTTAAATTTTGTTATGAAGTCAGTTCTCGATATATCTTAACCAGGTTCGTTTTAGGGGGGTAGGTGCCAACAAACTATATATGGTAGCAATGGACTTGCTTCGAAAATTACAAATCCTAATCCTTCGTGAACATAATATATAATGGTTCAATCATTAAACTTGACCTTTGCCGACGTATTTGGAAAAAAAAATATTGGGGGCATAGGTGGATTCAGATAATCACATTTCAAAAAGGAAATAAATATACTCTACCATTCTTCAATAAATTTCTCTTTTTTTCGTTTCTTATCATTTTTTCTTCATTCAGTGCTTGTTCTAATCTACATGTCATTTCCTTCAAATCTGGTCTTTTGGAAGGATCGACCTGCAACAAAAAAAACGTCAAATTAATATCATATGCCCAAAAATTTCAAATTTACAGCATATTTTAAAAAATAATTTTCGAAATTTATTTTAAATATTTTATATTGAAAATCCAGTCTGATAATAAGTCATGTGATCTATTATTAAAAATTAATCTTGACATTCCTATTTGGAAAACATCTGAACATATAAGCCAATTTTTGCAGTAAAGAATAGCCGACCATTTAATACAATTTGATTATTTATAAATTAATGGTTGATAAATTTTTCATAGAAGAATTATTGAGTCAATATTTGTTGTTTGTATGCTATCGCAGAGAATGTTTTTGTCCTGATGTGATTCGAATTTGCAAGATAAACTGAACAGATATTTCACTATGCATTGGGTTGATTGTAATAAATATGTCATGGCATTAGTAAATGGTTAATAGGTTTTATATAATCTGCTACAAACTGGATTTCTGGTAAATCTAATCTCAGATAAATAATATATGAAGCAAAGTGGTATCACAAAAGCTGTTAAAAATTCATACAAGTTTAAATAGAACTTATTGGAAATTTACATCAATTACATCATTACAAAATACTGTTTAGTGTTCATTATATCAATAACATCATGAAATTGATCAAATAAAACAAAATTAACACATCAAACAGTCAATACATCCTGCTAAATAGGTCAAAGGCATTATTTTATAGATACTTACTCCCATAAAAATGGGACAATGTAATGGGTAAATTCTCTCTATATTTATGATGTATTCAGAGGTGTAATCATTGACGTGGTCGTGGTTATAGCATATTGAGCAGATGAAAGACAATTATTCGGTGATGGGTAAAAATATAAATACTTTATTTAGATACAAGACTATATATTTTCCTAGTAAGTTGTCATAAAACGATGTCAATATTTGCCAGCTATTTTCACGTCCATTCTATTTGCGCAAGTTCTTATGTTCAGTTGGGTATCCAGCATCCACCCTCGATAGTATTGTATAATTAATGACATATGGTTCGTCGACCCAAAAATGGGACAGTTTGCGTCATGTTTATACCTAAATTTAGGAAATGAAAGCAAAAGAAAACAAACTCAAAAATAAAACAAGATATGCATATGGGCCGTAATATCAACATGGTTTATCTAAGGCCCTTGCCCAACCTTACATATTAGATTTACATTGATTAAACTAAATCTATCATGTACCATTACCAAGATGTTATCTTGTTTACTACAAAACAGCTATGACTCATTGAAAATGTCCTATTCACGGCTGCAAACTGGCTTACATAATCATAAAGATACAACCGTTTCCCATACCGACATGGACTCATAACCAGATAAGAGGCCATGTTTCGCAATATGATTAGCTCATCCAGTCGCCTTTTCTATTCCCAAAAATAAACTTAGAAAATCCTATCCTAGTTCTAATTTACATTGCAATTCTTACCTCACAGCAATCATAGGCAAGTTGTAGGAATGCATTGGGTGGCATTGACAGTGGCAAACTTGAAGTCACTACTTCTGGTGATCCAACACCTTTCTTGACCAATATTGTAAACAAATCTCTTTGAAGTCCAAAATCATTGGATCTCGGTAATTTTTCTGGTTCCGAGGATGTTCGAATAATCAGTTGACAGAGGATGATCCCAAAGGAGAAGAAATCAGACTGAAATAAACAAAACAAATTTTAATACAACATAAACATAAGATTGTTTAAACATGAGCGTCTTGATGAACAGTTGATGAAGAAATAAAACATTATTTTAGTGGTGTAAAATCTTAAATTTGTCTAAAATCAATTTTGCTACCCCTGACATAAATTTGATCATTCATTTTGTAAGAATGAAATGATAATATGTAGCCTTTGGGAAACTACACATTTCAAGTTAATATAACTGATATTTTTTCATTATTCTGATTTTTATTAGATTTCTAATGCAGTAATAGCAGTTTGCATTAAATAAAATATTGAAACTGATACATTTCTCGTTTTTGATAAAACGATCAATAATTGCTAGTTGCAACATATGCATATAAGATGTCAATGACTTTTTACTAACTTCAATTTGAAAGAACTTAAATTCATTAACTTCCCAATCCAAATTTTACTATACAGTATTATGAATACTAATTTTATTTTCCCTAGATAACCTGAAACATATGTTGCACCGCAGGTCATACATATGCAGGAACAAGGAAGGGTATTTGGGTCACATTATCTAAGAAAACATCCATGTTATATATTACAAGTATTAAATAAACAGGATATCCGGGTATGTATTACAACAGGTCAGATTACATATTGCTAAATATTCCTATTTAGTACAATGTCACATAAATCCAATGTGCAACGCTAGGTTGCAATCGCATAAAAGTGCTTTATTTTTTCGCTAAAATGGAAGCTGACAAATCATAGCGCAATAGACTGTGTCTAAGTGATCTGCAATGAACCGTAATGGCCTTTAAAAAACATACTGTGCGAAAATAACAAAACTCAAAACGCAATTTCAGAAAATGTAGCATTTCTAATATTATGATATAATGCATTTACCATATTATATTTACTAAGATAACAGTAATAAGACTTTAATATGGTAATATTTCTTGGAACGTAAAAAAAATAAAAAAGTTTTTATGGTATAATACAATGGGCACAACTAACCTACCATAAGTGCATAAATATGAGCATGCAGTGATGTATTTTGATAGTTTCCTGTTTTGGTATTTGCGCTATAATGCGGTTGTGGGCGGCGGCGAATCGAATCTCAAGCATGTTATTTTGTGTGCACACGCCTCCAAATCGTGACTAAGTTTGCAGATTTTTATTGATAACAAGATAAAACTCATTGCTTGGCTTAATAATAAGTTAAAGATAAAATATTGGTCAACATGATTTGAATACTGTACATTTGATATTAAATGACATATACAACGCTTTAAATCATTCTTCAAAATTTCAATATTACTATTTCTTTAGTAGAATTAACCGTCTCCATAATATTAATGATTCATGTCACTTTTTATGTATTAAAATTTAGCATCACATATAAAATGGATTAATTTAAAATATTAATGCAGATATGAATTGCAGTGCAAGTCTCTGCAATACCAACCTACGTCATATATTTATTAACGCACTTTGTTCATGAAGTAATAATTGAAAGAGAAGAACATAGCAACATGTATACTAAAAGGGTAAAAAATTTTCAAATTATCCCAGCTTTGTTGCTTCATGGCATAAAAATTTTGCAAATTTTTCGCGACTTTGTTAGATTGATAAATATAAAATACTGTAATTTAGTTACTGTAAGTTCACAATGTAATATAATATTCTTCAAAAATGGACATCCCGCATTGAATCAAGTTATTTTGGTGAAGTAAAAACTGTAAATTATTGTCAACAACAAGCCGCTTTAGGCCTTGCCTGCCGTCAATCCTGAACCTACTTCACACTGGTTGTATTAATAATAAATCTCATAATCCAAGTTTAAATGCAAGATAAGACCTAACGAAAAATAAACCGTCTAAATCCAAATAATTAGGATAATTAGGAGAATAAATCCTTGAGATCGTGTGGGTTCACACGTGACTCGAGTGGTGAGATTAATTTTGATGCATTCGAAGAAAATTACCTAGAAACTAAAACAGGTTTCTGGCCAGTTGAGTGCTAGAAATTTTAAAGAAATCAGTAAAAATAAACGCTTATGTATATATGTGTTGAAAGATTATCGTAATTTAAATAAAAATCCAAAATTGTACCCATAAAATGTGACACAAACACCAGTACATACAATTTATACAATGATTAAATTTAAATCCATGTTCAGTGGGTGACCAAAAAAAACGGAACTTATAGAATATGTTCCAAGTGACCTTTTTTTTTTCAGTTACCCTATATACCAAATTGAGCTCTGAAATGTACCACAATTACCGATTCTAATGGTTACTAGTCTGAAATTTGCATCATTTCATTATTTATTTTTTATTTCATGAATATACTATTAGGGCATATTGCATGCCAAATTAAATTATTTGGCTATTGGCATGTAATAAACTTTGTCTATCTTTTGAGAATTGGCATAGCACAATTTAAATGGTCCATGAGCCATGACATCATGAAATTGAACATTTTCACTACACTATTATTTAAATATTTTGCCTGCTTCAAAATATTTACTTTTCAAAATTTGTCATCCATGCAAGAATTGTTGTATCAGACTTTTAGGATTTATGTATAGACTAAGACATTTGCATCTGTATCATTAACATTTGATATTTGGAAATATTCACTACTGAGTACTAGACATTGGGCAGTCTGGGGCATTGGCGAAATAAATATCCTCATTCGAAACCATTCTACGCAATACTATATTAGAAAATGTAACAGAACATCTGGTTTTGAAGTCTTTCTTATCAACCTATTTGAGATAAAATCGAAACAAACACGAAACTGGAAAATTTTCAAAATTCCATAAATGATATGTCAGGATAAATAAAACCATTATGAATACCTGACACGAAACAGGAATGCTTTTTGCCAAGCAACTTTGATTAATTATGTTTGTAATGTCAAACGTGATATAAACCGGTCCAATATAAGTATTGCAACGGTATATATGTATTGGTAAAAGGTTATTATACTACAATACCTTTCCTTATCTTATATAATTGAATGTTGAAAATGACGGAAGCCAGGCTGTTTTACTTTCGAAGTCATTATCACAAAGAAAAAAAATTCAGAAAACCAGGTCGGAATACATAAGTACATACTACAAATGTTAAAAATAATTCCAAAAGAGCTCATTGATCATAAAAAATCCAATAGTGGAAAATCTAAAAATTCACATTTCACTGAAAACGTGCTATGCTTTTATGACAAAATATATAAAAAAATACACTAAAATATTTTTGTCATTTTTCTGGAAAAGTGCCTAATTTAGGTATGAGAAAAGTATACCGATAATTATTCTTTACATGTATGATGTGATAACCAAATATATATTTTTAATATTAGTTGTCAAAAAGGAGAAAAGCCTGTCAATTGAATCCAAATAAAAAAAATGGATACCAGTATCTGTTTTGTGCATCACCTAAAACATTTGTTATTTTTTGCGTTATACGTCAGTTTGTAATTTCTTACATAAAATCAGAAATTGAATACAGTTGGGGGAAAAATGATGTTTTTTTTCAAATATTAATTTTGTTACATCAGTAGATTGAAAATTAACTTATATTTTAATCATGTTGTTTAATAATAAATAAGGGAGAAAAGAAGGATTTAGATCGCCCAATAACTAAGATTCATCTTACCCTTTCGTTGTAAGGTTTTTCTCGTAAAACCTCAGGTGCCATACAATATGGAGTCCCAACGATGCGTAACTTTGCTTCATCTTCAGGTTTTGTTGGAATTTTTTCAGCGAGGCCGAGATCTGCAACAACCGCTGTATATTTTGTCTTGTTTTTGTTATTTGTTGTCACCCGAACCAAACAATTCTAAAATTGAGAGAGAAGAGCTTAATCGTGGACGATTTTAAAAGAAGATGTTAGGCCGGTCATTGTGTTCCAGTATACTACAATATTATCTCTATCATTACCTTTGGCTGGAAATATACAGAACCTAATATAGCAAAAAAACCTCATCAATTATTTCTATGAAACTGAAGAAAATTCATTTACACTTGAACCTATGTTTATGTATAATTGTACCCAAAATGTCCAGCTTTGCCTAAAAGTTATATTTTCTTTAAAATATGTTCAAATGCCATGGGTTCTGTTATTTGGGGGTAACCCTGTGACATAAAACTTAAATAAAAATGTTCACATCCAATTTGTTTGACGTTAAAAGCATTTTTGGATCGCTAAATGTATATTGCAATAATCTTTCCAAAAATGATTGTCTGTGATAACTCGATCAGTAATCCGTCAATGTTAAGGCTAAAGTGGGGGCTGGTGACACCTAAATGACAGACAAGAAACATAGGGTTTCCAATTAACACTAGCTTAATTGCGAAACATTATAAAATTTATATCTAAATTCCTCGTTTATCTCTGCATAGCAATGCAATATCATAATCTTGATTTATTTCTGAGAAAATTGAAATGTTGAAGAATTAAAAGAAAAGCAGTTGTTTTAAGGCCACTCACTAATGAAGTAAAATTATCATGAAATTACCTTCGCTGTCAAATCTCTGTGAAAAATTCCCATTGAATGAAGATACGTTAAACCTTTAGTAATGTCCATTGCTAAACGTATTCGGACAGACCATGTTAACATTGTATTCTTCTGTTCCACCAATTGATCCAGATCTCCACCGTTGATATACTGAAAGACAGAAAAGAATGAAATGAAAATAATAATATGTGTGGGTAAAACATTAGATACAAATATGATGGCATCGCAGGTTGAAATCTTGGATTCAAATCCTGGTATGTGTACCAGGTTAGAGTTAGGCCATAATTGTATTCCGATTTTCCATTACTTTACATCAAGTTGTGTAAAGGGACTGAAGCCTATGGGCTTTTACTTGGCTAACACAGACAGTCCTCGAACTGGAAATAGAACTAAAACAAGGAAAATCGGAATAAAATTATGGCCTAACCCTGACCTGGTATACACACTACGGAGTACCCTATTTTTAATACTATGTTCATCAAGTTAATTTGTCCTTCCATTCATGGATTTAAGACACTCTAAAAATTTATCCAGGATTCTAAAGACAGTGAAGCAAAATTGTAAACATGATCCACTTGATTAGGATAGGAAATGGGATTAGGTATTCTATTTTCTTACCAAGATATAAATGCTATAATAGCAAGCAAATGCAAAATTTTCATATACTTGCAAGCATTCATTGACAGCATGATATTATTGGTTGATAAATCAGCAGTCGCAAGACAATTATAAATAGACCACCTGACCTGCGGTCGATGGGAACAAGAGTAGAAACCACAAAACCACCATGGAAACAACAAAATTTCAAGTTTAATTATAGGTTGTGCTGTGTTTGGTAGCACACGATTTGTGTTAAATTTGCATTTGAGTTGCAAAGGAAATTTACATGAAGTGCAAACAACATCTTATTACAAATATATTATATAGTATTTAATAGTCTAGAATTTATATTTTGACGTGGTTTGCAGAGTGATCCAGAAAAACAGAATTCACGTCATTTGGAATATATTTTAAAAACAACATAACTTTTATGCAAAGCATCTGATTACTGAAATTTTTGGGTACAAGCATACACAAACAGACACTCAAAAGTTAAATAAATTTTCATAGCTTTTTGGGAATAATCAAGAAATGTGGGTTCATTTTTTTAACCACCCTGTTTTTACTATTTTCGAATGAATGTGCCAGTGATAGTATTGTACAATGCACAGATGGATTTTTGAAAAGGGAACAAATTCCTTACTAAACTGAAATGCGGATGTTGGTTATTTGAGCACAGCAAACCATGATATTCTATAATCAAGTTTGCTTGTGAAAGCGGAAACGTGATTCTGCAAAGTCCGGAAGCCAGCTTGTGCATAGTGCAATACAAACAAGCAGCACTTAATGTCTGAGAGAGATTACACAGAAAAGACTTAAAAATCTTCAGATGTTATTTAGCATAATATATTATTATAAAATGTGTTATCCATTTTGTAATCGAACAAAAACAAAATGTGTTAAAATGACATCAGATAAAATAATGTTATTTCAATGGCAGGAAGTCCTTGCCTGTCATAATGTGTTTGATGTGGTGGCATTTGTGTAGATTAAATGATACCCATAGAGTATGAAATAAAACAATGAAAAAATACAATGAACTGTAATATCATTAAACAGATTTGAAAAAATCTTTCAGTCAGGTATTACCTTACCATCATGTATTTTAGTATTGAATAGTTTTAATAGGTTTACAAAGGGAATTTTAAAAGGAACTTTCCTTGGGTAATAATGAACCTACAAAAAATCATTCTTTGGCTCCTATAAACCAATGATTTAATACAGAGTCAGGACAAGGTGTTCAATAAAGCTAATATTGATAGTCAATACAATAAAATTACTAAATAGTGAAGGCAGGTTATAACTAGAAATGCTCGAAGGTCCATTGCACATTTAATGGAAAGGCAAATAGGGAACTGCTATATCTCAACAACAATTTATGTTTTGTCAATAACAGTCAAGCACTTTTACTCTTACATAACAATTTTCAATCTGGGATTATTTCAATCTCAAGATTGGAAAGGACATTTTGCAATGGTATTAGAGATTGTTCACTTGTTCGAAATTGAATGATCTGACTAGCTTTTGCGTATGTTAGTTGCCTGGGTTCTATATAAAATGGGTGCCCAAAAGAACAGAACCCAATGGAACATATTCTAGTCTGGAGAGAACATAATTTTTGTGCAAAGCGTTCTAGATTACTGAAACTTTTGGGTACAATCATACACAAACAGAAGTGTTTAATATTTCTTCTTCATTTTCAAACAATTCAAAAATTTATAGGTTCCATTTCCTGGGTAACCATTTCGCAATACACATAAAAAAATCGACTGGAAGGGTGATTTCAAAATCCACCGGTTGTTTGTTAAATAACATCAAAGACGCGGGGTTACCTATTTGAGTCTTACAACGACCAAGTGAGGGACTTCCATTAGTTGGCATTTTTCAGAATAATTTACCATTGGGCCAACCTCGATACGACACAAACAGTTTTATTTGTTCAGCGGCTTCCGTCCGATTTCGAGAAGACTTTACGATGAAGTCTGAGTAAATATTGTTTATCGTTTTCAAATATAAATCACATTGAATTGAATTCCATAAAATTATTCTTCGGAGGCGACGACGAAAATTGTAAATCGACCTCGTAATGTAAAAATTAAATTAAGATTACAGTTTAAGAAAACTTGCTTACGGTTAAATCTGATTGGTCAGAAATGCGGATGCGCATTTCAAATTAAATGGCCAGCCAATTTATCGACTGGTCATAACTACGATGACGATTACTTCAAATGTATGTTACTTGCTATGTAAACGTTTGAGATACGAATTTTTTTATTTGGGTTAATCTTCATTGCAATGGAATTGTTATTGGACGTAAATTTAAAATATATCACATTTTAATTATGATGTAAATTGAGAAATTATCACTGTGCTTCACCGGACGTAAATGTCATTTAATTTACCCTTTTTTTTTTTAAATTTTACCCAATAAACGGCATCCGCACACAGCAGCGGATGAATACAAGGCAATGCAGCGAGAGGCGCAGACTAATGCTTCCTGAACAGAACCGAAAATAGTTGTCTGCAACAGCCAACAAGGGTCGACTGACTACTCTTGTTCAAATCCATCAAGAAAATTTGCTTTCGGATGGGACATGGATCGACGAAAAATCAGTAACATATATCTAAGGCACAACCTTGTCATATGATAGCGATTCAATTGCTTGTAAGAATGATATATTGGGAACAAATTGGCACAAAACTAGCCAAATGACACATCCGGAGCAACATAATAAAGTAGCAGTATATGAAATACCATTCGAGGGTTATTGAAATTCAGAATCAAATTTTCAAAAATTTTTTTTTTTCAAAATGGATGTTACTTTGTTCATGAAATTCTGTCACAAAAAAATGAGTATTCGCAATTACGAGAAAATGCAACGAATTTTTTAACAACATATGGAAAATATGTAAAAGCGTCAAAAAATTGTTTTAGCTGTGTTCATTTTGTCTCGTATTGACGTCAGTAAACGAGTAATCACGTGGAATGGAATGATTCTATATGCAAATCTAGAAATTAGAATGCCAAAAATTTCCAAGTCCAATTCATTGTAAACAAAATTCTGATGAAGTCAAATCTCGCTTTTACAAATAAAATTAAAATAGCAAAATGCGCAACTACTTCAAATATTTGAAATAAAAAGGAAATACCGCGAATGACAACAATACCGTAATCATGATTTTTGTGATTTAATATCTCGAGACAAACAATGGCATTTTTAATATGTACAGCGTAGCATTATATCAGTGGTATATTTATTTACCTCAATGCATTCTCATCCCATATTCAAATTATAATATTTAAAGATCAAATAATTATATACCGGCATATTCCACTATAGTTTGATGACATTTTCCGCGTGGAATTTCCGATCTAAGACATTAATTATATTTTTTCAAAAAACAATCCAATGATATTATTTTAAGGTATGTGATAAAATTTCTATAACATCTCAAATTGGACGTTTTACAATAACTGTAAATGCTTATAACATAAGCTTGTTTTGTTAAATGATTTCATGATGTATTTTGTATATAGTATATATGTTGTTGGACAAGAATCGAAATAGCAAAATAATCCGTAAAAGAATTTCAGAAATACATAATCCGTCTGTTTGTTATTTATTGATTGTGGGCATTTCGTCTATCGTGGCGTAAATGTGTCGTCACAATGCGAGAACGGGGGATACGTTATATATGAAGATTTGACATTCTTGTGCTTCATAGCTTATGTAAACATAAAAAGTACATTCAAAATTCGTTTATATCTGCAACTCGGGTGAAAATTTATTTAAAAATTACCTTCAAATCTAGAACGAAAATTCAATTTAAATGGCATTACAATACTTCTAGACTTCGAACGAGATAAAACTGTACTCAATGGCGCCAATGAGTAAAATTGAATGACATAATGGTCAATACGAATCGCTGGACAATACTGGACAATAGAACTCCTAATCGGTCCGCTGTTCCGACATCGTCTTTGACGCTTCATAAAAGATATAATTCATCCGCGTTGTTAGTGTGGGTACTCCCGTAGAATGTGAACTAAGATGGCGGACAACGGAATGTAGTATGTGTACCAGGTTAGGGTTAGGCCATAATTTCAGGTACAAATACTACGGGAGTCACTTGGCTAGTCCCCGAACTCGTAATAGAACTAAAATAAGGAAAATTGTAATAAAATTATGGTCTAACCCTAACCTGGTACACAGACTATGTTCAGCAGTCTTGGTTCACATACTTCGAGAGCGCCGTGTGTGGACATCCATGGTTCTCCAAATTCATTTAAGGAATTGATATTTTGTCTTCCTATTAGGTTAAGTGTCATTCGTTATAAAGGCGGGTTCGTAAGCTTCTTTCAGGAGTATTTCCAGTTCCGTTTTAAAATAGTCTATGAGTGTAAATTATATCACAAATTATCTTATGAAATATTGATGGTAATATAATACTAGAACAGAGGTACAACAATCGGGCGATGTGATGTGACAATCTATAACTTAGCACGAAAACAAAGCCGATAATTTTCTAAACTCTGATGTGTAGTAAGT